TAGCATTATAAAATGACTGGATCATGGCTACAGGATGCCACGGTCCTGTTACTGCACATCTATTTTCTGTAACACCCTTCCCACACAGCCAACATAGTCAAAGGTGTTTTGAAAACGTAAGAGATGTTTATAGTTTGAGAACTTACAGTCCTGGGCTACAAGTTCAGGAGATAAATTTGGTGCTAGATGAAATATACAGGAAATGGTGGGGGCAACAAAGAGGGAAGCAACTGTCCAGAAATACAAGACCACTACATATATCCTCTGGAACACCTTATCATAATGGTCATATGCATGAAAATGGGACTGAAACAGTGAGAGACCAGACCAGCAAATCAGTATCTTCAGTATTCATCCTTGGTTTGCTTTCTAGCACGTCTTCCAAAGAACATGAGGTCAGAGAGATCAAATTTCCGTGCTTAAGCAAGCCCAGGTAGATCACTACAGATTTCAACACCAGTTAACAGGGAAGATGAGCTGTGGCTGGAAACATGAAACTTTTGGACCAGGTGTATCAGCAAGAACATCATCAGGCCAAAACACTCTCACTGAAAGCACTGCAGCATCCACAAGTGATTCTGAGGCACGCGGGCTATTCCGTTTCCTTGTCTTAGGATACCCCACACAATAGGCAGAGAGAGCAGCCAGGAGCAACCCACTCGTCCTGAGCGAGGGCTGGGTGCCCACGGTGCGTGAGTGTCACACAGGCAGCAGGGGCACAGCTCCCTGAGCAGGACACACAGACAGCAGAGCTCTGCAGGCCAAGCCTTCGCCAGCCTGGGAAGCAGAACTGAACTGGCGAGGGACCGGCACGGTGCTGGCTCTGCTCTGCCACAGCAGGACAAGGAGGGACAATTTGTCAGCCAGGGCAAACGTCCAGCAAAGAGGTTGAATGCCAGCAAGGGAGCCAGGAGAGAGGAAGCTATCAGATGAAGAGCCAGGAAAGGCTCCAAGGCTCAGTAGTACAGTTGGAAGAACTAAAATGGAAATGGCGAATGCCAAAATGAGTGGAATCTCTTTTCTTCAGAGAAACAATTTATATTAACTTCTGCTTAGAAATCAAAGAGGAAGTCAATTGAGGCAGATGCTTCCAAAATTAAACACTTTGTATCGAGTATTTGGAGGAACCTTGCCTTCTTTGGTTAATGGCTACAGAAACATTAACATTATGCATATTGTAACTGTATTTGGGGAGAAGAGGGGAAACAAAACTATTTGCCCAGTTTCAGATGGACTCTCTAGATGTTTAGGAGATTATTATTTCCATACAGTGCAGGACAACAGCCTACAAACATGCTTGCTTTCCTTCCAGATCCACATAATTCAAAGCAGAAAGCACAGCAGAGCTCTCCAAGGCTGGGAAAACTGAACATATTTATTTTCCACACTCTTTAAATTCTTTCACTACTAACTTCAGATTTCTTTTCAAAGGTTGTTTGCACAACCAAATTTGTTGTCACTTGTCCTTCTACACCTCTTTTTGGCCATTAGTATCAAATATTTATCTAGAATTTTGGGTATCGTGAACTAGACAAACCTGAGCTACATCCTGTGCTCTCTAGCTTTAGATATGATGTGTGTGCAGCACAGCATCACACCCTCCTGACAGGGGAAACACAGGCAGCAGTCTCCTGGCACAAAGCTGGTTGGGAACCACGATGCCCAGTATCAGTGTGTCCCACATACTTCTCAGAAATCCCATTGCAAGGGATATTGGAGAGGAGCCTAAAAGTAGCCCTGGTCTCTTTAAATTGGATTCATGATTACAAATGGAGAAGTGGATTTTTTTCTTTCTCTGGTAGAAGGCACATAACTAGCAATGGGTCACTTAAAGTTATTATATGGACATAGTGAAAGAAACTGGCTCTGTAACCATACGAGAATAAAAGAATATAATAGAAATGTAAAAGAATAGAAAACAAAGGGAATCAATACACTGAATAAGAGACACAGTATCCGAAGAGTACTGTCAGGTTGCTTCAAGCATTGTTAGACCTTCCTCTTCAAGGGCTCACACTGGGTAACACGACCCACTGCTCCAGACCAGGTACTCTTTTACTGTGGATTTCCAGAGGGGCTGCCACGCTTCACCACTGCATAGATGGCTCTCAGAAGGTTCAAAATCCATACTTTTTGCCATCTATCTTTCCACACCCTTGTTTTTCCTGGCATGTGACATGGAACAGGCTGCATTTTTTTTAAGGTGTCAAACATGCCAAGAGCTGGAATGTTTTCAGCGTTGTATTTTTAACCGTGTCTAAAACTAGAAACGAAAAGGAAGAGATTTAATTCAGTGTAAACATTCCCTACAGCCCATTTTCAGCAAGAGACTATGTCCAGCGCCATGCCCCGCCGTCGGGGGAACTGAGACCGTCCAAGTCCTTCTGCAAAACCCACTTCAGCGCTATCGCTGCCGGCGCCTTCCGTGCCTTTACGGGCGGCGAACATCCCGCCCCCAGCACAGCCAGGCAGAGGGAAAAGGAACCCAGCTCATCACCGGGGCAACTCGCCCGGCTGCCGACGGCGCGGAGCGCCCGCGACCCCGAGCCCGGCGCGGCGGCACCGCAGCCCGGGGAGGTGGCGGCCGCCGCACCACGCCCGTGCCGGGGCTGGGCAGCGCCGCTCCCGCCCGGACCCCGGCGCCCCTTCCCCTTCCCCCGAGCCCCGTACCTCGTCCCCGAAGCGCACCACCTTCTGCCCGGTGTTGAGGCGCAGGCTGGGGTAGGAGGCGGGCTGCGCGGGCGGGCGGCTGGTGCCGCGGTGCGCGGCGTAGCGGGCCTGGACGTGCGGCTCCACCAGGCACTTATCGATGATCTCGTCCTGCTGCCGGGGCGGCAGCCGCTCCCACTCGGGCCCGTAGCGCTCGCGGATCCGCTCCTTCTCCGCCATGATCTTGCGCGCCATGGGGCTCAGCGAGGAGAAGTAGCTGAACCGCTTGCGCTCCCGCTCGTCCAGCGGCCGGTTCCCGTTCATCACCGCCGTGCGGGAAGCGGCGATCGCCGCCGCCATGGAGGCCATGGCCACCCCGCCGCCGCCAGCCCCGCACTCGCACGGCGGGATTGGGGATGGCACCGGGAAGAGAACCGCCTCCTCCCCTCCCGCAGACGCCGCCTCCCTCGCTCCCTATAAAGCCAGGCGGCCGCCGCCCCGCGCTGCCCGCCCCCCGCACGCCCGGCCCGCCCCCGCTGCACCGAGCCGCCTTCTCCCGCCGCCTCGGCCGGCCACAGGGAGGGGAGCGGGGACGCCGCCTCCCGGGCGTGCTTCGGTCTCGGTACCGTCGATAGCGTGGGCTGAGCGCGCCCCGCCGCCCTAAGCGCTGCTGCCCGTAGCGCTCGTCTCCCGCAGCCCTTCCCTTTTGCCGAGGAGCTAAGCTGTAGTATTCCCACGCTGCCCGGGCCAGGAGCACCAGGAAAGGACTTGCCTCAGCTAGCAGAAGAGAACCGTGCCCAAGAACCTGCCTTTCCTCCCTCCTAAATAAGTCGTACGTGTTTCTTAACACGATAGAAGGTGCAGCAGCTGCTGTCAGAAGAGAGAGGATGTCGGGCACAGGCGCTTCTGTCCAACTCCACGGACTAGCGTTCAACATGGTCTGAAGCCTCCGTATTAATTTGATAGTACAGCTGCAGCCTAAGTGTAACAAGTCTGTGCAGTAGGCATTAGTTACATTAGTAAAACAGATTTCTAAAGGCTGAAATAATTAGGCTTTCTGGTCTCTTCATTTGCTGTACAAATGCTCCTTTCTGGCAACAAGTCCTTATTTTGGCAAAAGATTCACTGAGGTCCCACACACACATTCCCAAAAGATGACCAGTCTCCTGGGGTGGGGTGGAGGAAGCATAGTTCCTTTCCTCAAAACAAACAAACAACAACAAAAAAACCCCAAGCTTACCTAACATAGGCAACTATGTCAGAAGATTTATGTGAGACTAAATCTATTTTGACTTTTTGGCCTAGGTAGTTACAGGGAATTTTTATTATCTTCAAAATATATTTCAAAGTAGCACAAATATTGAGGTTCAGATTAATGGTTTTTCATTGCTTAGCCTATTTTTTCCCCCTCAGTCTGCTTTCTTTAGTATCATTCTTAATAGATAAATGACTGGGGCTGCAACACATTAATGTTCCCATTTAAGAGTTCAAATGGTATTGCTAGACCAGCTGTCTAAGATGACACAGAAGAGGATGGAAAATGATAATTAGATTTCTCCACATACTTGGTTCTTTGGAGGTAATTACAGTTCCCCAAGTCATCACATACCAGCCCAGTTATATAATCCTGTTTTGTTTGTTAAACTTGTTTGAGAGCACTTGACTTGAGCTCGCTTTCTTTCTTAGTCATCTGCCTCACGCCCAGAGAAAGAAGCCTTTGAAACACGTTTGCAGGCACACACACACACTCTCCTAAGAGGTGTAACACACATTACCCCAACCCTCCCGGGATCTCCCATTAATCTCTTTTGTCTGCCACCAGGGGGTGGGGACGAAGTCAGTCATAGGAGTAAGAAATGAGGGCAAGGAAACCCAGACTATTGTACATGGTTTGTTTGTCCAGGAAGTTTTTTCCTTCCCCTTCTCCACTCCCTCTGGTCTAAACCCCAAAACAAAACCCCTCCTTTTTACAGTTCCCAAGACTGTCTGCTCAAATCCCAATATAATTCCCCTTTCTCAATTAATAATACAGGGCATAACAAAATGTAGAAGAGGCTTAGAAGATCACATTAGAACACAATCAAGGTAAAAAGTTAGGCATATTTTCCAGGCTGCTGGAAATTCCTTTCCTTCTTAATGAAATGTAGTAGAGACTTCTTAAACTTCTAGACTTTTAAACAGAGGAAGCAAACAGAGCTTATTTCTAGTGGGATAGAAGAAGGTACTTAGGAATTGAATGTTGGGAATACCTGTGTCACAAATGGACAGCATCCCAATTCCTTTAAGGAAAACTTACACGCCTTCTTTATCCTTACTTGCAAAAAAATACCTACTTCTGCCCTTTACAGAAATTCTGATCAATAAAGTTTAGAATTCATATTCATTAGTACTAAACAGACAGGTGGTCAAATTTACCTTTATTAAGGTTTGGTTAAGGAAACCTGCCTTTCCAGAATGCTGCCAAGTTTGTCCAACAAAAAACTCAAGGAACATTAACTAGTGCTCCCAATATAGTTCAATCCTGTCAATCTGTTAATAACTTTTGCCAACCATCACCAATGGGTACTTGGAAAGGGAGATTGTTGTGTTTCTGACATTTGCTCACTAATAGCCTAACTCCAAATAAGTAATTGGTTTGGTTTTGTTTCCTAATGATGTATCCCTGAACCTCATTCTTTTAAGCTGACATCTGTTCCTTCACTGGGCTGCAGTACATGAAATGCCTGTGTATTCTCCAGCTACTCACACATGGGAGAGCTCTAAGTTTTCTGTGCAGAGGTTTGGAAAAAAACAATGAGAAGTAGTATAGTGTTATTTCCAATGAAGATTACTTTCCTTTTTTTTTTATTAAATAAATTTTCACCTGCAGTCTGTTCAGTCTGTAACTGACCAAGTTTCTTACTGCTCTTCAGTTTGGCCCCTGAATAACTATTTCTGTTAGAGTGTGTCTTAATATGAAAAAGTAGTTGTTCTACTTCTTTTTTCCTCTTTAATATTATTGGTCACAGGAAGATATCTTTTACTGGTGATTAACAGTCAATTAAGTTTGTTCTATTAAAAAAAGCAAAATAAAATCAAACCATTTTGATCATAATTTGTCATTCAAAATTATTTAAAAAGCAGTACCTCTTGGCCTTTTAGTTGTATAAATTATACAACAACTATAGTTTTTTTTAGACAATGAGATGAGTCTGTATTTAGTACTTCAATCATTGTTCTCAGGGTTGGAAAAGTCTCCGATACCGATGGCAGGCTCTTGTAAGAAGGTGAAATACTGAAAGAGAAAAAAAAAAGTTATTTTTTAATGAGTCTTATAATTTACCTGCAAGTTAACACATTAACTTAGTTAACTAAGACTTTTTTCTTATCACCTTCTCCAACAAATTTGGGACCTGCGTCAAGAACTGACTCCATGCAGGCTCGGGGCAGAGTGGCTGAGAGTTGCTGGGCAGAGAAGGACCTGTGGGTGCTGGCTGACAGCAGCTGAACATGAGCCAGCAGTGGGGCCAGTGGCATCCTGGCCTCTGTCAGCAATAGCGTGGCCAGCAGGACCAGGGCAGTGATGGTCCCCCTGTACTCAGCACTGGTGAGGCCACACCTCAAGTCCTGTGCCCAGTTTTAGACACATCACTGCAAAAAGGACACTGAGGTGCTGGAGTGAGTCCAGAGAAGGGCTGGAGCTGGTGAAGGGCCTGGAGTACAAGTCTAAGGAGAAGACGCTGAAGGAGCTGGGGTTGTTTAGCCTGAAGAAAAGGAGGCTCAGGAATGACCTTATTGCTCTCTACAACCACTCACCAAGGAGGGTGTAGCCACATGGGTTAACAAGGGACAAGACCAGAGGAAATTAGCTCAAGTTGTGCCAGGGAAGGTTTAGATTGGATATTAGGAAATATTTCTTCATGGGAAGGATGAAGACATTGGAATAAGCTGCCCAGGGAAATGGTGCAACCACCAATCCTGGAAGTCATCAAAAGTGTGTGGATGCAGCACTTGGGGACACGGTTTAGTGCTGAACACAGTGCTGGATGAGCAGTTGGACTCAATGATCTTAAAGTTGTTTCCCAACCTGAATGATTTAATGATTCTCAGAATCTGCTGTTCACAAACAGCTCTTGCTTTTCATGACTACTCCATCACCATACAGAATGAAAACAATGTCTACATAGAAGAGCTTTCCAAAGCAGCAGAATTTAAAGAAAAAATGTATTGCTTTAAGTCTTCCAGCCTTGTTTACCACATCCACTATTATTTGTCTACCACAGACAAATAAGCCACTCAGGCTAATTACCTTCATATTACTACATCAAGTCCTTTGGGCTGTAGTTCTTCAGATTTCTTTTTTTTTTTTTTTTCTCAGCAAAGGCAACTTTAGCATTTTCTCCACTCTGGCACATTTCCTCACCTATTATACATCTCTAATTTGACCCAGCAATTTCCTAGGTTCTACTATACTACAAAATGGTATTGGTTAAAAATAAATTGTTTTGGCAAGGTTATTTTTAACACAAATGACTTCCCTGATCTGGTTTGACATGGATTCCCATAAGTTTCAACAGTACAGCTGAGAGAGTTAGAACCACGTGGGTAGCACTGAAATGTCTTAAGCTGACTTTACTCCCAAGAAGGAAGTAAGATATGTCTTTAGAAAAAACCAAACCAAACCCACAAAACCAAAACCAGCATGAACAGAGGATTAATAAAGAAGAGTATATAACTGAGAGAATTACTGGAAAAAAGTGTGGGAACCATAAATAATTTTATATTTCCAAGACAAGCATGTCTCAATATTTGTACAGACTACTTCTAATAAAATCCACAACTTGCTACACCTGTAGTTTAGAAATGCCACTCCTTAATGAATACTGAATTTTACTCATTTACTCATTAAAAATCTACAAGTAGATTTTTAGCCTGAGTTTGACAAAGATGTCCTTGAATCTTATTAGCCTTTTTCCTTTAGGAAGGGATTTTCTAGTGAAAAGGGGCAGTCTAGTGAAATTTACCAGGCTCAGAACCCCTGATAATGAAGTTAAGTAGCTCACATCAGTGTGAGATGTTTGGCACTAAGAGCAGCTGCAGAGTTCCACAGACTCTAGGATGTTGGACCAGACCTCAGGAGGTATGGGATCTAAGATCCTGTTCAAAGCAAGGTAAACTGAGAAGTCAAATCAAGGTGTCAGGGCTTTATCCTGCCAAGTCTAGAAAATCTCCAAGGGTGGAGACTGCACAGCCTCTTTGGGCAGTCTGCTGATGAAAAGATTAGGCCAAGTCTAAATGTTGTTTCAGCTCATGCATATGGCTTTTTGTCTTCCCACCAAACACTCACAGGTCATGCAGAGCTGCTCTTAGATCAAAGCCTGATTTTCTCCAGGCTCAACAAGCCCAGCTCCCTCCTGTTAAGGCATGTGCTCCAGACCATTGGCCATATTGGTGTCTCTACACTGAATCTGTTCTGGTTTATTATGGTCTTTACTGCAGCTGAATGCAGTATTTTAGGTGTGGTCCAAAGTGCTGAGAACCCCCTAAATCTGGTTATCCAAACATCATCTTACTCCATCTAGCTGTCCTTTTGTCCAGACTATAGTGTGCTATCTTGATATGAGAGTACTGTGGGACCCTTGCTGAAGTAAATAAAAATAAACAATATTGATTGTTCTCATCATCCCCAAAAGTCAGTTCTTACCACAGAGAACCATCACCGGGTCACAGAATGTTTGGTAAGCTCACATGGATTGTTTTCTGTGACTTTTTCCTCCATATCAACTGAAATGCTTTCCTAGAGGACTCACTTCAGGGCTTCCCCAGGGATCAAAATGAGGCTGACCAGCCTACAGTTTCTCTGGGTTTCCTTTTGGCTTTCTTGAAGAGGAACTCAAGATTTCCTTTCCTGCAGTAACCAAGAATGTCCCCGGATGTGCACCATGTTTCCAAGACTATAGATGGCCCTGTAAGGACCTTGGCCAATTCTCTCAGAACCCTTTAAGTGTCTTGACCCTGACTTGAAGAATACTAGAACTGGTGTTGTGTCTGGGCTGATTTTTAGATTTTGTACGGGGAATAACAACTAGGAAACCAATTAAATACACCCAAATCACAATATTAATTCTTTGTCAATCTATGCAGTATTAAATTATAAATTCATATGAAAATCAAAAATTTGAAGCATTGCACAAAAGTCATGCACCTATACTAAGTAATGTAATTCTCCATATTTAAAATGTCTACCTACTTTGAAAACAACTTCCAAATCAAAACAGAACTAAAGGATAAGCAAATTACTTTGGATATACAGTTTGAAGAGACCCACAGGAATTTTAAAAAAGGGTCAAAAATTTCCCCTTGCTTTGTTCACTCATTGCCAGTGACAAGCCATAATATAAAAAGACAAATATAACCCACTGGATAAAATGAAGAAAACATTAACCCAAACAATTTCCTTAGAGAGTTTACTCACATAACTGGATGTCTAGACTATTAGCTACTCTGTTAGACTAGAAATACACTACTGTGTCTGTAAATGCAAATCTTCTCATCAATTCCTAAACAGTGTTAAAATATACACTGAATCCTTTACTAAACTCGTAATTTCTAAGTGACATTTCTTAGTATAGGTTTGAATTTTACATATAGTCTTTCATATTTTATTTCCCCATTCCCCATCTGAACAAAAGGATTTACCTTTTTAGATTCATCCAGCTCCTTGCTATTTTGGTAAACGCTTCAGACCCTGGTGCTGTCATGGCTTCAAAATCAACCAGCTGAAAATTCAAGAAAACAAAAGAAATATTAAGAAATTACAGAACTTTTAAGTTCTCTAACTTCAGGAAGGGCTTTGACGGCTTTGCTACCTATATTCTTGGTAAGACAGGAGTAAGCTCACAAGCCAGTCTGTGCCCTCACTACTTTGTCTCTCACCATCTGTTTTAAGCATTCAAGCCAGACACTAAAATCCTCTGTGGGTTTGCACACCCCAAAACAACCAGTACTGGGAGCTACACTGGCCATGGTTACTGAATGACTTGCCAGGCAACAACAGGACTCTTGGCTACTGTGCACCTTTGACTTCAGACAAATGAACTTTCAGCCTGAAAATCCATGTTGTCGTAACTCTGGGACCAGATTAGCCCTTCTAACAACTCAGGCAAAAAACAAACTTCAGTTTAATTCCGCAATTTCTTCCATGTCATGAAAGGTTTTCTAAAAAACAAGTTTATTTGTATTCAGGCACACTGTTTGAGGAAAAACCCTCAAATGTAAAGATGTCCCCAGTGATCCCGTAAGTCAGAAATCCTGCTTAGTAGTAATCCTGAAACTCTGTTTGCCTGCATAAAAATCAGTCAGCAAAATACTACTCTATCAAGTCCTAAGAAAATACTTAAGAAACCCCACAGAAGTGTTTTACCTTCACTTGAACTCCCACAGAATGGGGAAGATACCAGCTTAATGATGTACTGAAGTTTTTTTGCTGCTAAGCAAATGCTGTTTGCTCTTAAAAGTTCACTGCACTCAAAGGAGTACATTGTTTTCAAGGCTTTCTAGAACAAAAGAGAAAATCACCCTTTCTTCAGTTATCCATGCAGGGTATTTTCTTCAACAACTTGGATTCTTATTGGAATTTTACTGAGTCTTTTGACAATACATTAAAGAGACAGAGGTGTTCTCACTCCTGTCATGCTGAAAAGGGAATACAGCTAACAACCTCCAAGTGTCAAAGAAAAGGAAATCCTTTATTAAACAAAGTGGTATAATACTCAAACGGAGTCACTTAAAAACCAGGACTTAGTTTGACTTCAGCAGAATACAGAGGGGAAGGAGAAATCAAGAAAAGTTGCAAATCCACTTCTATTAACCAAGCCCTAAAAGCTCTACAATACACTGAAAGTACAGACAGAAAATTACTGCTGTGCATCAGAAGAATCACTAATTCTGCCCCAGTATTCTCAGAACCCTTAAAGCAAGCTGAAAAGAGCAGCTCAGCACACTGGAAATGCTTCAGTAACAGATTTGTAATTCCTTTTGGACCAAACTGCTACAATTTGACTAATCCACATTACTGCACATGCCATCTCCAAATTCACCAGCTGTCAGAACAGCAATGGAATTTTCAATATTCTCTCAGGCTGCAAGACATCATGGCATGCAGCTGACCCCTCTCCAGCAAATAAGCATGCAACTTCTGTTCATTCTTCCAGCTCTTTCCCCACATTTACAAGTATTATCTCCTCCATCAAGACTGAGCTAATGCACTTTGATATTTTGATACTTGCCTTTCCTTTAGGGATTTTTCCTGATACTTCTTTTCCACTTGCCATTAGTGCTCCCATGATCACTGAATAGGCTATCACACTAAAAACATAAAATTAAAAGCAACAAATGGAGTAAAGTCTTTCCATAATGCTATTTTAGACTACAAAAGAAATGGAGCATAGTATTGTTTCATAGAAGGCTAGTAAAGATTACTGTGCCAGTTATTTTAGAAGGAAATAAAAAAAAAGAAGCACAAAACACTTAAAAAGTGAAATCCCTGTAATTATCTAACATCACGAGAATGAAAGTTAGGAACCTGTGGAGTTTTACTACTGTTTCTACATTAGTCTGAACCATATTTTCAGACTTTGGAGCTCTTAAGACTCTACAGGGCTGAAAACAAAGCAGATTCTTGTTCCCAAGAAGATCAGCTGTAGCCCAGAAGAGTTTAGTAACTCTACTTCAATAGAGCTAGAGGCACTGTAAAGCTATTCAGTTATTTCATCTTTAACTTCATTTTTTGAACTGTGGATCTCAGACAGAATGTCCCCTAATTTTTACAATCAATAAGATAAATGCAAAATCTGATTATAAAATCCCAAAATCTCAGGTTTTTTTTTTCATACTGAACTGTATCTAGAAGTAAGATAAAAGATGTTAAGTGCCTAAGTGCTTTGTGGAACAGAGATTCAGAATAGTCTTACATTTTGCATTAAACAGCAGGTTTGCATTAAACTAGAATTCCAGTTGAAAAGTTCTGTGATATATGCAACTTTATCCTACAGTTTCATCTGGTGACCTTTACAGTTGCAACAATTTACTAAAATAATATTTTAGTGTATACTTCATTGAAGTAAGTTATGCCAAAGTATATCTCATTTTAAATACACATTTCAGAAAAACTTCCTAAGTGAAATTACAGTGGTGTAACACAATATGGATTAGAAAACCAAGCATTAAAATTTAAAAATAACACTTCTCAATGTGTGAGCTGAGACTACTCATCATTTTAAATATACATGCAGCTATGAATAGCTACCATTAGCAATTACAAACTAGCATTTAAAACAGTACTAAGTCAGTTCCCATTGTCACAGCAGCACAAAAGGAAAAGCTGTGTAGGGCACACAGCTCTATTAAAAATAATATTAATATTAATATTTAAAAATACATCAAGATACTGCAAGGCATAGACATCGTACAGCAGGCAACAAAGGTAACAGATGATGAATACCAACACTAACCTAGATCCTCTTGAAAGTGGCATTAAATTATAGAAGTAATAAACTAGTGACAGGATCAAGTTGCAAACAGCATCTACTTCCTAAGAGAAGAAAAAAGCGTGAATTAAAGATAATTTAATAGCCGGGTAATACCTTACAAAGGTATACATTGCAAAGTCATACATTACCACAAGTATTTTTAAGAACCATTTTCCAATGTGAAAATGTCAAATAATGAAACTGAAGTCTGATTAACAGAAGTTTGAACAAACTACCTTATTGTATCTCTAGCATTTAGGTGAAACACAGTTCATCTATACACATATTAAAGGATGAAAAAGAAAAAGCTCAAATGTAGTCAGACTGTCCTAGCAAATCAAATCAACACAAACCCAATTCTAGAGCGTCTCACAAATTCATGTTAGTCATCTTATATGTAACCACTGTGAGCCAAACCCTAAACAGCACTTACAGGGATGATGGCAAAGGTGAATGCAGGCCCATGAGAAAAATAAGAAACAACCAGAACACACTGCAATACTGAGACCTTGCCTGGACACTCTCTAGAACTGCAGGCAAAGACCAGCAAATTTTAAAACAACAGATAGAATGTCAGCAACTTCTTATGGTACTTGTCATAACTGGGTTTAAGTAACTTTATTACCTATGAACTCTGTCAAAAACTGTTACAACTGGGACTATTAAACAGAGAGTATAAAAACATAAAAGGCTTTTTTAAGGAATTAATAATTGCTTGAACAGCCTTACCCCCAGCTCTGCAGACAGAATTAGAATTTTTCCTTTAGCTGTTAGATCCTTATATAGTGCATCTATTTCTGCATGATACAGCTGTGTTCTCTCTTCTGTTGTCTGAGTTTCTACTGAAAATAGTATGTTCCCCACTCTGTTAAGCAAATGAAAAAGAAAAGGAGGTAAGACATTTTTTGAACAGAACTTGATGCATATCCAGGGTAAATTACAAATCTACTACAGTTACACATCACCTTTTCCCTATCATCTTCCTTAAGCACGTGCATTACTTCCCATTTAATTAAAAATCCCCAAAAATCGCTGAATTAAAAATGCTACATCAATCCTAAGTTTTAAAGAATGCATAAAGACTGCCACCTAATCACAGATGAAGTATTTACATTGAAGAATACCTGGCAAGCATTAGTGTTCCACTTAAATTGTGGGTAAAAAATAAGAAATATGAAATTTTAAAATATCTTCACAGACTTTGGATTTTTGTATAGAATGCTGAATGTAATTTCTTCATTTCTAACAGGATTGTTTTGGTATAAGGCAGTTACCAACTATGGATCAAAACAGACTGAATGACACTGAACAAAGTTCCTCCAGAACAAAGTTAGGCTATTTAGTGACACCAAAAAGTTTTCCTCAAAATAGTGAGGCCATATATTTAATGCCCTTTCATCATACATAAGCCTGTGATTTAGAATGTAAAATAAAAAAACAAGAGATACATTAATATTTTAGTAGGGAAGTTTGGAATCCATGCCACTCATTGAAAGCACACAAATTCTGGGAAAAATCCCAATGCATAGAATTTTAGCTTTTTTAAATTAAAGTTTTAATTTAATAGTTTGACATGCTTCTGAGCTTCAATTTGCTCACTTTCAGAAGGACAAGGAATCAGAATCAATAAAGTGAGACATTTACTATCTCATTCAGAGAGAGACCCAAAGCCTCCTGTTGTATTGTCAGACATTCAGGTACTATTTAAATTTTCACTTGCAGATAGAAGGTCTGCAAACATCTCAAACATAAAAAAAGTCAAAATCTCAAATAGAAGACCGTGTCTTCTATTCTTAGATCACAGAAATTTCCCTTCCTTCAGGACTTCTCAGTAAACACAAAAGGCAAGGTCTCACAAGAAGAAATGCATTTTGATATGTATAAAGACTGAGGTAGTTGATATTTTTCTCCTTTAGGCATTTTATAGTCTAAGCTGAAAAACAAGGTCTCTTATCACTTCTGTGCTGTATGTTTGAGAATCAACTCAGCTCCACCAGTGTTATCCAAATTCCCTTTTTGCTGAAAACACAACAGGAATCAAGCCCTCAAATGAATAAACTTTAGTTATTTACAAAAATGCCACTAGTGAAAAACAAAACCCACTTTATGTGAACAGAAGTGGCATTTCAGACAATTAATTGCTAATAGTTCATCACTGCTGAATGTACCCTAACCCTTGAAAACAGTGAACATACTTATCTCCTGTTATTGTAATTGTGAATCCATCATATTCTTTCCCTTGATCCTTCAGGCTGGGGACTTTTGTGTTCACAGTGAACCCATCTCTGGTTTTACTGTTAAACTGCTTTCAAAATAAGAAAAAAGTAATATTAGAGGTAGCAGAGGCAGAGGCTGCCTACCTATTGCTTTGAAGCACATAAAATACATGGAGTAGAAATGAATGTGGACAACTTACAGAACAGAACAAAGTTACTGTCAGTGACATTATTTCATTAATCCTTTATTTCCTTCTGAATGGAAACCATAAATTCTGAATGAGGCACAGTGGCATTTAACTTTATAACTAAATAGTGAATAAAATGTGCTGTTTATGAAAAGCCACTGTACAAAGCAGTTCAAGTTGTACAGATTTGTCCCCAAGTTGCATGCTGATGGTGACCTTTTGGTGCAACCATGTAAATGGAAAAGAAGGAATTTGAGACCCCATTTTATGTTTACACTAAGAAGTGGTTGCATTAATCCAAGTGTGAATTCCAGATTAAAACTCAATGCAACAGTTTCTTAACTGTGATCCAGTTTCAAGTGATGTTTATTCTCATCAGAAGGAAAATATCTCTAGGTTTAAGAACTTTACAAAGCTACATTATCTAAGAGTAACACTGTAGCCATAGAGTTGTATAAACCAGGCAGAACTGCATTTAAGTAAAGCCAAAATCCCAGCTTTCCACATAGAGCATTTGCCAGCTACCCAAATAACCAAATTACATCACTTTCAGAAAGACATTCATTTTATACAGGCACTAATGAAACTAGTATGCACTAGTGTTTATTCATGCAGTCATTTATATTAACCCAAACCTGTGCTCCAGGGTGTTTTGTTTCAAGAGAATCTGCATTTATTTTAAAGGAACAAAAAGTCTCTAATGAGACAGCATTCCACTTTGATACAGTCTGGAATGGGATGCAGGAGACTCAAATCAGACCAAAATGTACAGGTATGGAAACTTCTGCCAGTTGAGACATTTACTTTGAAATAATTATACAGTCCACTGTGTTTATATATTTTCATCACTTTCTTGGAGTAACCTGTATTTTTAAAATCCACTGGCAGCATTTTTTCTAGCCTACAATTCAAAAGTAACCAGATTAGATGCCCTACAGGGTCCTACTTGCACATTTGAGTGTCAGGAGGGAACACTTAGCTGCCCACCCCAGCAGCCACTACCTCTTCAGCGAAAGCTTTTGTTAAGGTTCAGTTTGCATCCACTTGGCTTCATGTTTCAAAGCCAAGAACAAGACAGTAACATAAAAAGGGCCTCTGAAATTGGGGTGTCTTCAAAGAACATACATTCACAACACATTTTAAAACCCAGAGAAAAATGTAGTGCTTAAAGCACATAGCTCCTGCAAAGATAATTGCAGTGCATGAGTGAGCACTAGTATCAAGAACTCATCCAAGCCCAGGCATTCTGTCAGGAGTAGCAGCAAGGCAGCTCCAGAGATTTCTGCTCTATGGCAACCCAGCTGCTTTGCTTAGATACAAAATTCCAGTGTGGACACACAAGATAAGAAAGAATTTGTCTATTTAGCATAATGGTTTCTTCCCAAATTTTATTCTGCTCTGATTAAAATCCTCTACTATCCTTTAAAAAGACATACTTTGTAACTTTGTTTCCCCAACCCTAAATACTTACACACTGCTCACCCCTAGATTAATTTGGAGGGGGAGGGGGGGAAGAACTTTTACTTAAACCCAGCTCAAGACTTACCACTCAAGATAAGAGTATAAATCATTTTGCAGGTCATATATCCAAAGCCTTTCTACAAATACCACCAGCAGGAGGAATAAAACCTGCAGGTTTCCCACTCCTTTTTTGGCAAGTCTTCCTAGGCTCAAAAATGTTACCCAGGATTTCATTTTAGCTGTCAGTCACAAAGAACAACTACTCCCCCACTTCCCTGTGCCAGCCCCACCACATACTGAGCTGCACCAATGAACCTAAAAGTAAAAAGAGCTTCCATATTCCTAATCTTACATGCACAGCAATCAATTTTTTTTCTTTCCTATTGTACAGGCACAGAGTGAGCCTACTATGGTAGATCTGACCAAAAACCCTCTTGGGTTGAGAAGGTTGGCTTCCAAGAATTACATCTAACATTCTGGTTTCCCATTATTTTGTTACCAATTCACAATTAGGCCAAGGATTTCAAATATACATCACCCATATCAAAGGGAAGGTCCAACCCTATATATCCAGATTTGGAGTAACCTGAGCTAGAATTTCCAGTTACTCTTTTCAAGCTTATATACAATGGTGTTATTTTGAGGAACTGAATATCTCCCAGAACACATTTCATGGTTTTTACCATATATTGAAGTTTTTCTGTAATTTACCTTCATTATGGGGAGAAGATCTTCTACTTTATGTACCTTTTCCAAAGCTTCTCGAACCTCTAGCAGTCCTTTTGGATTATTAGCACTGGAAAAAATTAAATATGAAATACAACAGTTGAACACAGGTAGTATTTCTGGAAATACACATACCTTTAATCTAATCAGCCATAGTTAAGTAAGTTGTTGAAAATTAATTATTTATGTTCTGAAAATAAGTTCCCTTATACTTGTCTACATGCTCTCCTATATTTCAAAAAGTAATTTTCTCTTGTATCAGCTCAGCTTATTTTTTTCAGCTTCAAACCTCAATTTCAGTATTCAGATTTATCTTATTCTAATCAATTACTCTGTCTCACTCTTGCTATTGACCATTCTAAAGCATCAAACAGTGTTTGCATGAGTGTGTGTGGGCAGGGGGTTCTAGGTAAGGAAAGATGGAAGTAGAAGAGAGTTAGAATTAGAAATATTCTTCACAAAAAATACGTATCTGGGTAGCCTCAAAGGCCAGTAAATACTTCAGATGCAGGCACAGTGGGATCACGAAGAAACCTGTTGAATTACTGCTCTAATCATTATTAATTACACTGTACCAGATTTTAAGAACATAATTCTCTTAGAAATCACACCACAAATTGGTCTGGTTTAAGGTCAAATGCTGCTGGGCTTACTGTGAACAAAATTCCTAGCAACAGAGGACAGAGTGCCAGCTACATATTTTCAACAACTATCATAAATTTCTAAAACTTGAACATTTTCAACTGTTACAAGGATTTTCTGCACTTTCATTTTTTGATATTTAAGTAGCATAATGAGATTGAAAAACAGAACTCAGTATTTAATAAAAGTTACCAGGCCAGAGGAAAATTAGAGGGCTTGAAGCTAAAAGAGTTTTTTAGTTTTTTATGTTATCAGAATACTGTACAGTATTCGGGACAGATGGCAACATCAATTTTCATATTACCTTTGGCCATATTATTTCATATAAGACTCTACAACTCTCTTCAGTTCCAGGGCAGCATCTACCAACCCATCTATGTAACAGATAGTAAAGATTCTCTGCTCATTTAAAACTCCTTGTTAAATACCTGTTCAATGAAAATTACCTTCCATATCTTTCTCTTTCTTTCCCCTCACTTCTAAATAAATTTATATCAATAGTCAGAGTAATTGTATTTGATTCTACCAGGAGGAAACCCAACATCATTAATAAATCATATGCTTAGAAAGAATAGAGATCCTATCATGACAGAACCATGGCTACAAATTCCAAACAGTTATTACTTTCTAGGTATACTATAATTCACAGGGGTTTTTTTCCTATTAAGTTTCTTTATGTGGCAATGAATACAATTTTCCATTTCCAGCAGGAATTAAAACAATTATATATGCTAAGGAAACCAGAAATTACTAAACTAAGAAAAAAGTCTTTTGGACTTTGTAAAATGAATATTTTGTAAAATTCAGATCACTATTACCAGGAGAACAAAGGAGGGGGCAAAAAAATTGTAATTTACCCATGATAAACAAGGATCCTGTCTTTGATAAAATGAAGAATTTTCTCAAAGTATTCCAGGTACCGCATGTTAATGACCTGTCCCCTACAAAGAAAAGAAAGGGTTTTTTTGAAGTCTTGTTTTTCAACCCAACATTCCAGGACACAAATATTACTCATTAATATTTGACACAATTTTTTTCACAATTGCTGTGTAAATTAAAGGAATAAAGCATGTAGGATTTATCTACATGGTAAATTGCCAATCTCCCATTTTAAATATAGATTACATAGTGAACTTGCTCAAATTCATGTATCATTAGAATTGGTGTTCTCTGATAAACTACATTCCATGCATATTTCTCCATTTTTAGTGTGCCTGATTCCAGCAAATCTTATCTATATATAATAATTATGAATTTGTACAAGATAAAATCTTCCCTAGACTCATAGATACAACACAACTAGAAAAGAATTCTCAATTTGCACATCTAGATAACAACATGCTCCAGTTTACATATTTGGCAATATACATGTTGATCTGCTCTGACTGTCCACATATATGTTTCTTTATTCACCTATGTTCCTCTATATTGAACTATTTTTGCTTTTAATCCCAAGAATTACAAGTAGTAACTGAAAAACAAAAACATTGAAAGGTGTTGCTTTTTCCCTTGGACTTCTAAGTAAAAAAAATTAAAAATCAATATTGAAGATGTGGTAGAAACCTGTTGGGATTACAACCACTCTGAGAGGAAAAATTACATACCACTACTGCATTTGTAGGAGTCCTTCCTCTTCTCCCAGTCTACAAAACAAGATTTTATAAAGCAAGCGTTATCGCTCTCTGGGGAAGCAAAACTACTGTCAATCACAGGAAGCTGTGTGCACCTAGCTTTTTCTTTCCACTTTAGGGGATTTTTGTCAGCTCAAGTCCCTGTCTAATGTCTCACTTGACAGTCTCTCACCTTAGGAGGCCTAGTCTCAGAAAACCAGCAGAATCAGTCCTCAAAAAGTGAACAGAATTAGAACACATACACATGTCTGCACATAGAAAAGGGAGGCAGGGAAAGTGGAAGGATGAAGACAAACCTAATATACAGAATTTGCCCTGTTGTACGTCCCATCCTTTTCCATCTGTATTAAAAAATATCTGTACAACAGGCAGTAGTGTGTCAGTATAAGGAAGTGGGTTCTCCTTTAGTGTCATCTTGGAAAATACATCCAAAGCAGACCTCTCCTCTATAAGGCCATCGAGAAGCTGTTGTACCAAGAAAGAATTTTGGTGGGTGATCAGAAGTGATTTGTGTTAATTCCCACTCTTTCTTCTTGTTTAGCAAACATTACCACCAAGAATTCCAAAGTTGCAGTGTTCCAGAGTGCCTCTTTTTCCCATAAGAACATTAAGCATATTATTAATGTTTAGCTGATCACAAATCCTTGCTTTGTCTATGAAAACAGCTAAAGCTTTCCAAAACATTTTCTCTACTTTAAATCAAACTTACTAGCTTTGATCATTTAAGCCAGAAAGGAGATAAGCCAAATTCACCCTTGTCTATGGACCAACAAAGAGACAGCTGACTGACACTTGCATCTTAAGATCTGAAATCCTATCAAAAATTGTGAAATGCAAGATGTTTCTTATATATCTTTTTAAAAAGGTCCCCAAATTGACACAAAACAAAAAGGGTTTTTATTTTCTGACACAATCCAAACATTTTAGCATTCTGGATAAGAAAAAAAATTGATTCAGCAGACACTGAATGCTAATGCCTCCATGACAAGACTCATTTGACAGGAATCACTGAACAATACTGGACTTCCAATGAAAAGAACTTGACTAAAGAAAAAGACAAGTAATCTAAGTATTTCTCCCCACAGAAATTCCTGGTGTGCAATTCAGATGAAATAAAACCTAGAGACAGCTTGAGCTCAGCATGACTAGATCTTTTACAAATGCTGGAAGAACACCCAACTGCTGTTGCTACATTTCTTGTTTGACTGAACAGCTTTTATCTTAATATACATAATAACCATGCAAACTGCTATTTGTCAGCCTAAATCTGCTGTTACACCTGGCTCTCAGGTAGCCATGCTGTTTTAGAAAGAATTCAGCCTTAGTCATATGGGTATGAGAATAACTTTCAAACCATAACCTAACTATAAAACAAAGTATATGTTCCTGAAGGACAGTCAAAAGACTATTAAACCACCTCGGTTATCAAGAAAAGGGTATTAGCTCTGTGCCCTATTATTCTCTTCAATCAGCAGCCATTTACAAGCTGAGTAATGTAAAAATGAAATGATACAAATCTGCATAATTCTTTAAGAAGAAATTGTCATTTAGAAATCTGTGAACTAGAAGATGCTTCAAAACTGTGAAAAAACAACTATTACCATTTAATATGTTCATTTATTTTGTCCCTCACATCACATGAAATAATCAGGATGGAGCCAAAAGCAGAAACAAATAATAGAAGGTGATCAAAGAAAGTGGTTATTACTTAAGGCTGGAGAATGACCAAACCAGAACAGGTTTCCAGAGTCAAAAAGAATGCAATCACCATCCAGCACTAAAGCACAAGAAACTCCTAAGACAGTGGTATTTAGGCTGCTTCAAATCTATTATTTCTTCAAAACAGGCAGCAAACCAGTATTTTTCAGAGAACCACTACTTAGCTATCAAACAAGCAAAACCAAAATGCTGATGGGATCCCCAAAAGCCAAAGCTGAGCGAAACCAAAAAGGTTAGAATTAGGTTCACTGTGGGCCTTAAAATTCTGAAGCTTACTTCAGACTTCTATAAAATGACCAAAACAGCTGTAACAGTACATCTTCAGTTTTGCCAGCATTCTCTGATGAAAGGAAAACAAGTACCCTGGTCACTGCAAAACCAGAGTTCCTGACACAGAGATTCTGTACAAGGACATATTTCTGCAGATTAAACATTCAGTATTAGTTTCAGGATGTTAATTAAGTGTTGTTACATGAATGCCTTTCTGCCAACACAGGTCACCTAGAAGTTACTCTCCCATTTAGAAATAAAACCATGAAGAAACAGGTGAAGTATGGAATGCATCTCTGTCTCCAAGGACAGATGGCTGTGGTTTCTGCTGCACTGTACATACCACAAGAGAGAAATGCAGCAAAGATGGAAACAGCTTGGAGCCCAAATGTAACCCTTGGCTTGGGTGAAGAGAGAAACCTGAGCACAAGACTGTTCAAAAAGCAGCACATCTTGCAAAGTAAATGATCTGCACTGGAGTTCAATGCTTCATTAACCATTCCAAGTAAAGGAGAGGCTGCTAGGGTCCATTCCACAGACTGGAAGGAAGAGTGAGGACAAATCCTCATGAGCCTCTGCATATGAACATCAGAACATCACTATTCTTCTCTGCCTGAAATAATTCTTGAGAAGGCTTTGTTTCCCTCATTCTTCTTTTTCAATACAGCTTCTCAAAGAACAAAGAGACAGACACACATAAAAGCAGAATGACAGATCAAAGATTCAGTATTTCCTAGGAGGGGGGTGGATTAAGCTGAAACCTGGCTACATATTTACTTACACAAACACACTCTGCTCCTGTGATTGACAGTGATGTTGCCACATTGAGTCTGTCACACTTGTACCACTTCAAAGGGGGTAGCACTGTCATGACTACAAAGTTTTGCAGCATGGGAGAAGATGGAACGTACAACAGTGGTTGAATCTTTTAAATTCTATCTTTATTTGGAAGTGCAACTGTTAATTTCACAGGTTACTTATTTTGTCATTTTTGCTTTACTTTGGCCTGCCTTGAAAACAAGTATGAGAATTGTTTTTCCTCTTCACTGTAAATCACTATTAAAACTAATAGAACAGCATTGATTCAGTACCACTGCCTTTGAGAGGCAGCATTGACAAATTTACAACTTTGATAAACTTAAAATTTTTACACTTAAGGTTACTTGGGAATTAAAAATAGCATGTGAAAATATGTATATTCTGGATCCTTTTTAGATACTGCTACAACTCAGTAATACAACTGCAATTCAGGAAAAAGAGGAAATGTCATAAGGGAAAACTGTGCACAAATCCCAAATGTTCCATCAGAAATCATAAAATGAATATTAAAGTAAAACAGTAAGCACATACACATTCAATGTTGTAAAATTCTGTTTCACAAAGGGCTGGCAATTCTGGTGCAACCCCTTAGAGTGTGTGGGAATGCTGTTTGGTAAAACTCTCATACCTGATTAAGTTAATGTGATTATTGAAACCTCTGCTAAGGCTCCGGGCAGGCATTTGGTCCAACCAAAGCACAGGCTGGTCAGGGTCAGCTATCCTACAAAGACAAAGGACATCAACACTGGCACACATTTCAATCTGTGTAATATTTCTAAAAAAGCTTTATTCAAAGACAGAACAATTTTAGGCAAAAACTAGAATTCAGAGATTACAGAAAAGAACTTTTCCTGAAATACAGATATTTTTCTTATAAAAAACCATACAACTCAAACATTTGATGTTTCTGGAGTTGAACCTGTTAGCTTTTATTTGCCTTAGCTGCAATGGATCCTATGGTCACTCATAGCTTTGCTTCAACTGGAAAATGCTATACCTTTTTTTTCCCTCCTTTATAGAAGAAGAAAAATGGAGTATTTTCAGAAGTGTACTCCTTTTCTTTTATCAGAACTACATCATCCTTTTATCAGAACTTTTCTAGTTACAGAGTGGCAGCTAGTGCTCATTTTCTTGTCCATGACTGCAGCCCTTTGAGTTACCTGGAGCACTCATCATCATGACAACCAGTCCAGGCTTGCCCTCTGTGACCATTACCTTCTCCACTTCACAGCAATATCAAACATATCTCTCCACTGCATCAGCCTGGTCTTCCCATTCATCCGAACTTTGGAGTTTGCCCAAGTCCGCTGCACAGCTTGCATTACTTCCAGAGTGGCCAATCCCATTGCTGAGGTGAGGCACAAGGACACAGGTACCAACAACAGAAACAGAAAACCAATTAGAGCCAAATACTCAGTGCTGCACAGACAGGAAACTGAAGTGGGAAAGCAATGTATTTACAGGAATAGAATGGACAACATCAAAAAGTCTGGGAGATCCTGATTTCCAGTGCTCAGCTAGGTCAATCATTACTTTAAAGTTTCTATCTGATTTGAAAGAAACCCAATTTGCAGACAGAAAAGATACAGCATTCAATTATCACACTGACACCCCTGCCCCCTCTCAAATTTACAGAACATTTTCAATATACCTCTATGTATCCTTTTATTTGGAAGAAATCCTGGTGTCTCATACTGCATCATGGAACCCAGATGATCAGCTACACATATGAGCTCTTGCACATCAGGCTTATAGCTTTCGAAATTCTGAAATAACACATCTCTTACAGAGGAGAAAAACATGCATCAGACACAGCTTGGTTATAAAAGTCCTGAAAGCATTTGGCAAACAAATCTGTGTTTTACAAATCAATACCATTTGTGTGAGAAACATTTTAAAGGATAAAGAACACTCATTCCTCCTCAAGTCTACTGAACATACATAGTATGCTGCAGTTACATGCAATATCTCAAATTAATTCAGTCTTACTGAATTCAATGGCAGATCCCCCCCCATTTAAAATAAGTTTTAAAAATAAAAATTCTCACTTTATATGTGGCTGTAACCCTGGCTGTTCTTCATAATTTTCTATAAGAAAAGGAAGATTTTTGGCCCAGTGATCTTTGAAATTTCCAGGAAGATCTGTATCAGTATTATACTCTGTAAGAGGGGTATCCAAATGTGCATGCAAATACCTAGAATACTCTGAAGGAAAGAAATAAAATTAATACTGCTTGCATAATCAGTTTACTTCTGCCATTACACAAAAACAGTAACCAGGTTATACGCCTGGCAGTTAAACAACATCACTTAAATAAGTCATTATTTTTAGATAATATCATTTTTCTATTAGCCAATTTCCAAGACAGAAATAAGTCTTTTTCAACCAAGTATCACAACATTCTACACTTCTATAGAAATATATATTCCATTTCTGGATCTAGTTTTTAACTGTATGAACAATAAGAATCAGTGTCTCTTTTTCTTAACATACATACTCAACAGTGCTCCTGAGAATGTACACTGTTTTCTCTAGAATGACCATAATTACAAGTAAGCTTACACTTTTAGGGTCCTTGAAGCATTTAAGAAAATTTTTTAAAAACCCCAAATAATTCCAACTTACCTCGGAGATATTTCACTTTCAGATATTCTGGACTGGCCTTCTGTCCTGGTAGAGGATCGTTTAACATAACTTTGGTCTGAGCTTTTATGCCTTCATAAAACTGTCCCATTGCAACATGGCTGAGACCCTTCATGTACTGGCACACTTCATTGTATGGTTCTAGCTGAAGACATCTCTAGGAGATTAAAAGGACAAAGCACCCATAAATCAAGAGACAGAAAGATCATCTTCAAATAATCCAACCTGTCTGGCCAGAAGACATGCGAAAAGATTTATTGATTATTAAGATCCACTTCCATCATCATTTTCTTTCAAATGCTGCTGAGCACTTAAATTGCTAGCAAATTTAAGAAAAAATATTTTCAGCTTTATAAAAGGGGAAAAAAACTGAAACCCCAAACCTTGTCAATGCAAATATGTCTTTGCATACTTTGCTCTAACAATATTAGCTCAATGTTAGCTGGGTGAAATTAGGCAAAATATACTCCTGACAACATTCCAAATTATTTTGGGTTAAGTATATAGATACACATCTCTTCTGCCATTTCCCCCATTCAACTCTTCACTACTTCATGCATTAGTACACTTCTATGTTAGTCAGCTATTTACTGTATGTTAAACACACAGCAAATTCCTGTTTATGATTCAGAAATGAATGCTCCAATTCTTCTAGTAATGACATGTTTTTAGAAGAGCATCTCCATCTCAGAAGTTGAAGTACCTTTTCAATTACATCAGTATCTACAAACTGGGTTATAGAAGGTGAATATGTAATAATGCATGTAAAGCGTTCTCCCTGGGATAAGCACAGACTCATTTGGAAAGGGATCTTATTTCATTCCTTGTTTTAAGAATATGGGCATACAAATAACATCTGCCTTTTTTTGTTCTGTCTCCAAAATAAGGCAATTATTTAATGCCAGTAGAGATAGGCAAGATTTTGGCAACATGAAAATTTCTGCAAGCACAATGAATCACAACATATGCTGAATTTTTCAGAAGAAAATACTCTAGAAAAATTAGATAAACATTGTAAATTATTTTCAGCTGAAAATTACAGACTAGTACATTTTACCTTTTATCCAATATGAAAAAACTAAGTTTCAAGTCAAAGTATAAGCAAGAACACAATTACCAGTTTAAAAAGAAAAATAAAATATTTCAGTTAGCGCTTGGCTTTACAAACACCGAAAACAGTTAAAGAAGCCACTTCAGTTTTAGCAAGATTACATTTTTAATTACAAACTGTTAAGTTTTATCTTTTAAGACAGATTCAGAAAAGAATACTTCTAGTTCAAATGCACACACATTCAGAATGAAAAACTTTCAAATTTGTCCGTTTTATTGCACTTGTTGAATACAAGACCTTGTTAAAACACGTAAATTTTGTGTTTACTTAGGGCCTGCTTACCTTAAAATTCTTTAGTGCTTCATCTAAGCTACCATGATGATAAAGCATCATTCCCTTGAGCTGTAATGTCTGGACATGATTTTGATTCAGCAGTAAAGCCTTCTGGAAGCTCTCTGTAGCAGCATCAAAGTTGCCAAGCTCTCTAGTGATTCCAGAAGACGGAAAGTGAAAAATACAGAAGGCAACAGTGACAAAAAAAATGTTAAAGGTGATTTTAAGGTGTCCAAAGGGGATAGCATTGAAGAGAAACAAAGTACTAAAGCAAAATTTCTATAACAAAAGCAGTAATTTTGCAACCATTCTCCTGTGGCAATGAAAGAACAGCTGCACAGTTTGTTGCTTCCAGAAATATGTACTCTGACATACAACCCCCCAAGAGCACAGATCTTCAAAATCCTCAGCAGACATTAAAACTATAAAAACACACACCTAAGGTATTTCTTCAGAAACTAAAGTAAATAAAACTTCCACACAAAGCATTCTTGGAAAAAATTATCTTTGAGAGGACTTTTTAACTTTTAAAATACAAAAATGTTATTAAAAATTTACCAACTACTTAAATGTTGAGTAAGAAGAAAGTATATGGTGCTTGAAAACTGAAACTAACTAAAAATTTACTGACTGGAATTACTTCATGTGCAGGACAGCTGTACATGTCAGCAGACAGTAAAAACAGTCACAGAGAAACTGTCATGAGAAAATTAAAATAGAAATAGTATACAATTTAGTTTATCATAGTTTTTTAGTTCAGTAATTCAAAAAAGAGCAAGTCAAGAAAAACAAACAAGATCTACTAGTTTTAAATACATTTGCCAAGAAGAATTTTTAGCAGAATAGTGATTAACCACAGCTCTTTACTTTCAAATAAATGCATGAACACCAAAGCCACTACATTTGAAGCAGGATTTAATCAACTATAGCTCATGTTGTATTAACCCTTTCTATCATTTTAAAATCATTTAGCATACTTAAAACACATCTTACTGAAAACTGCCATTTAGCTAACCATTGTGTCTGGGAGACTCAAAGAGCTCCCAGAGACTAAATGAAAAATACAAAGCAAACATAGAAATTATTTATATTGAACATATCCTGACATAGCCATACCAACTGCTGGAGCTACCAAAATATCACATTTGGTTCTGCACAACTTTGTAATAAATGTGTAAAACTTGGAGTGCATTTTAAAGAACACAACCAGATGAAAAAATGACTTTACAGCTACTTCAGAATATGAGTACCTGTAGGCTTGTCCAAGACTTTTATATGCATCTATGAAGTCTGCTTTCTGCTTCAGAGCTTCTTTGAAGGATTCAATGGCTTCCTACAGAAAGGAATCAACAGAAAAATCTGTAACTTACTACATTCATTAAATTTCAGCATCCTCAGTAGTTATTAGTTATGGAATTTATGATTATATATCAAAAGCTTTGGAAGGAACAAACGAGGCACAAATTTATTACAAAATCTATAGAGTAAAAATTATTACATAATAAATGAAATACCAAAACATCCTTTACAGTACTGACAGATTTAGCTGAAATTCCTTTGTCTAATATGCAGTGGGAATGAGCAATTCTTTTAGCATTTTAATAGAGTTCAGAGATGAAATCCCTTCAGAGTTGCTTTCAAAGCACAGTCTGCTCCCAAAAGCAAAGCAGTCTCTCCTTACAGTCTTCTTTCTTCTTTCATAATACACCTCTTAAGTTTTGGAGGCCAAAAGACTCCTTCAAATCTGCCCTCTGCCTTTAATTGTCTTATTGCATTCTTTGTTATTGTCTCAGTTGGAAACATTCTCTTTAGGGATTACAGACTAAGTGATCATCTTCACACAACAGCGTGTACTGTTGCTATCACTGCTATTGCAGTTGTAAGGAATACAATGTAATACAAACAAAAGCTAACAAAATAAGCATGCAGTTAAAGAAATATTCCTCTTCAAAGAATCTGATTAAGAACTCAGCTTTTTAAACTAGAGTGGCTAAACAAACTGGAATATTCAATACTGAGACTTAGAATTAAGGATGGAATAATCAACTCCTTTCTATTACTAAGGAATGCCTGGAAAGTATCTTGAAGTCTTCAATGCAATAAATTAGATGCTGTAAGTAAAGAATTACTGGTATCTTTCGTCAATTCAGAAATCCTTGTTTAGAAAAACAATCAAATATATTCTGAGCACTATAATGTGCACAAAAATACCCACTGAACAAAAATGTAGGACAATCACCTACAACTATAGAGAGGCTCATATCCTATAGATAAGTTTTAAAATCAAGATTATTATTCCAAAAACCAGTGATTCAAACAAATCTCTTTTCACTCAAAACTGAACATATCCACCCTCAACCCCAATCTTCAATTTTCAGCAAGCCTTATAAAACCTAACACATGGTAGCCTGAATCTGACTGGAAGCTAAGGTGTACCTGGGAATGAAAAACCACTCAGTGATAATCTCTGAACATGAACATCAGAGAGGGAAAATGCTTCCTTTGAGAAAAGAAACTGGGGAGAAGGATGTGGCAATACAGAAATGTATTGACCTGTGTATCAGAAAGAAGAAAACTTTGCTTCTATTCTGCTAACTGAGACAGCACTTATTTTTGTCAACTTTCCAGTCAGTTTTTTATTTTTGCCATCACTTTTTGGGGTCTCTGTTGCCTACAACAAAAATCAGAAATCCAGACTATTATTTGCAAGTGTCTCTTCTTAATGCAAGAAGACACAGACAATAAAAGTTCAATGACAGTCTGATGTTCTCAGAGCATACAGTGAGACTGTGGAAAAAATACCTGCTTGGGTACTAAAAAAGTGAGGAAATGGACTGCAAAAAAAAATAGAGATAAAAAATAGTGCTTGCCTATGAAAGATAGTGGGCTGAAACTCAAGAGCCCTGGGTAGCCTCCAGATTCTGCATACAACCCTTAATGAACCCCAAGCTGTTATCAGAGGTCAAACAAAAAAGACAGCTCCCACTGTTGAATTCAGGAATCACACCATTGCATCTTAATTTTTCCAACTGAGGATTTCAGATAACTTGTCTAATTACTCTCTCCTCTGGAAAACGGCAGCAGCACCTCTAAATACTTTACAAACAAGAAACAGGGGCAATATTACTACACCTAAAACAGAGAGAAGTTTTGAGTTAAAAATGGTGAAAACTTAAAGACATGGGATGAACTTACTTCCCTGCTGATTTTAGAAACTGAAGGAGCAAGTATGTTCCCTCAAGTTAAATACCAGCCTTCCAGAAACAACATAGGATTGAAATAAACATGTATAAATGCAAGGCTCCACCAGCACTTTCCTTTATTACTCCCTAGCTCATTCAAGGAAGAGTTTAAAATTAATTTCTTCTTCATCCCTCTTCCCTTCCTAAAACTTAGGAAATCTCTGCTTAATTTTGAAATTTTTGAATATAATCATACAAATACTAGCACAGGTGCTAAATACAAATATCTTTCAAAGCATTATCCTTAAACATGTCTGTTATCACTGACCTAATGAGATTCAAAAAGACCTGCAGTATTTACAAATCATATCATGGAATCTTTTTGTTTTGCTTGCACTCTTTTACCTTAAAAATCTTCCTTATGTGAGAGAAAATAGATATATCAACACCAATGATATTTCTACTGTTTAATGGAAATAACTTCAAACAAAGGGCATTGTTCCACATGAACTACTGTTTAATATAGCTTTACCTTCAGGAGTCCTCTGTGAAAGAAGGTTAAGCCTTTATAAAGCATAGCTATAGGCTGATTTTTGTTCAGTTCCAGTGAGCGCTGAAAATCTTCATGGGCTGTTGCATAATCCTATGATAAAGAAGATTTCAGATGACACAGAAAACACCATACACATAAAGAGGAATGCGTACTTTTATTTCCATAAAAGTAAACTACAGAATTTTGTTTAATATATGAAGTCAGTCTCAGGGCTAAGCAGCAATGATTATCAATTACCAATCAGAACATTAAAGAATGCACAATACAACTTTTACAGAAAGTGCTGTATAAAACACAGTAAAGTACATGGAAAAATAGCTGGAAGCAAACAGTGAAATCAGAAGAATCAAGCAGGAAATCAGCTATCTAGTATTCACACAATCTTTGAAGATAAAGCTACTCGTTCTACATTAAAGCTTTAAGAACACCACACACAGATCACATAGCAAAATGGGATGTTGGCATTTTTGTAGGGGTTTTTTGTTTATTGTGAGAAGTGTTTTTTTAAAGTATATAAAAGACTTACTGCCTTGGCCGTAAGTACTTTCCTTCTTAGGCTGGTGTTTATCAATACTAATTAACTGCAGGTTATAAATCAAGTCAAAGTCTTTATCTACTTCCTACTCCTCAAACACAGAAGTATCTGAGGTGCGCATGCAAGGTACTTGTCCTCTGATTCTCAGCATTAAATAGATTTGCAAATGAAATACTTAGTGAATACTCCTGAACTGTCAGAAAGCAGCTACAGGAGAAGCAGGGCTTTTGTTATTAGATTGGTTTGGGTTTTTTTAACTAAATAGGAAAGAAGTTCTAGAACAAAATTAAGAACTAGAACAGAAGTCAACAAAATCATGAACAACATCCCAAACAACCAAAGCCAAAGAGAATCCCCAAACTCCACTAACCTCAGATATGAAGTAAAGGGTACCTCTGTGCCTGTAGAGCCTTGCTGATGGTTGTAGCTGAATTGCTTTGGTAAGATCTGATAATGCTTCACTGATTCGTCCTAGTGGGGACAATATCTAAGAGTACAAAACCAAAACACAGTTTAGAGCAGACAGACTGAATGGACTTGTTTTAGAAATAGAAGATTATTCTTTTCCATGTTCAGCTTTAACAGAGTAATTGTATTTGCTAGAATAGGCTGGAAAGTCCCACTATAAATGTCAGTAATTACGGCTTTTAAACCCGTATGAAAGAATAAATCTGGAAGAATTTTTCTCAAAACTATCAGTGTACATGAACATCATCACATACTCAGAAATCCTGTATTCCAAACTAAAAACAAGTCGATCAAAGCAAAATACTCAATTTCAAGCCATTTCAACATATTCACGTGAAAATTTAATTAAAGTATCCTCCACAGCCTAATTTGAAAAAAACATTCCCCCAATGGAAAATGGACCATTTCCAATTATTTGAATGCCCTTCACATTTTTAGATCAAGGTTCACAAATGTGCTAAGAGATTACCAAAAACATTAAAACTCTGAATATTATGGCAGCTATCACATGCTGCCATACAGCTGTACAGTATGCTGACTTTAATATTTATACTTTTGGTTTGTCTACAAAGCTGCTTCTTAACATCTCAACATTTTCTGTAATGTAGTTAGCAAAACAAAACTTGATTTAAAAAAAAAAATATATATGTGGGTTGGAATGATTTTGAAATTACATGCACAAATATAAACCCAGAACATTCAATTTTTTAAAAATTTGGTATTTTAACAATTACTAGTATTCACTGTAGATTTACTAAGGTGACAAAAGGTGCAAATAGTGAGGTTCAAGTGATATTTTCATGAATTTCATAAAAAAAACCTTAAACAGAAATGATCTTGTTATATAGTATGTAAAACTGAACACTTACACATAATATATGCTGTTCCATTGGCTAAAATAACTCTATATCGTCTATGTCTTATTTTAAAACTAGATATTCCACAAATTACACTGTTTGAGAGGAAATGTGTATATTTTAAAAGAAAGGAGAACAGAACACCAAGCTGTAGGCACTAAGTCAGTTAAGATATGATTGGAAACACAGTATAATTGCAACTTCTCTCAAAGTCTGAGAAGACACAAAAAATGCTCACTTCTGCTCGCTGTTCAAATACTTCAGGATGATCTGGTTCTAGACTAATCACCCTGCTGAGCTCAAACAGAGCAAGTTCAGCATTTTTCATATCCTAGAAAGGAGAAAAATAAACAAGGTGAACAACTGGGCATACTTAGACTAATATACTCTCAAGATGAAGGACAACTAGATTGGCTAAGTGTTTGAAAGTGTAACTGTTGATATTAAAAGCTCTTCACATCTTTGCTAAAAACATCAAGATGCATTATTCTGCAAATAGCTGGAAAAAAACCACACCTGCTACAAACAATGAAACTAAACTTTGTTTCTACACATAATCTTTATGTTGTACCTCTAATAATTTATTAAATAACTCTGTGAATAAATATTAGATTTATAGCTCCAGAGGTACTTTGCTTGGCAGCAAAGCTGGTTCAAGCTCCCACATGAATTCCAACACACAGGAACACTCATACCCACCAGTGCTGTCATCAGCACTGTCTGCAGCTTAAGCAAAGTAGTACTGATGAATGGGAGGATGCCAACAGCATCCTGCCTATCTAAAATTATAAACTGTCCTCAATTAAGTAGTTAATCAATAGGATGGAAGTAGTTACTTCATTGGAAGAAAATTCTAAGTAATTATACAGCACATTCTAGATTAGATTCCATTGATTTTTTTTTTCTCAAAGCAAAGAAATTTTGTGCTTAATATCATCTCTGTGTCTTGAAGGTGTCACTCAAAAACTTTTACCAAGTGAAACTGTATCAACACCTAGCTAAACCAAGAAAACAAACTCACATTGATGTTAAAAACACGCAAATATGAGGGACCTCAAGCTCTTGACAGTACCCCTAGATAATTAAACACTCTGAAAAAGAAAATTTTCAACGAGTTATTAAATTATTCATTCTTCTAGAACTCTAGCAACTATTCAACCATGATTCAACTGGCCACAAATTCCTACAAGGACCACAGTCTACTCATAAATTTCTCAAATTTCTCTTGGATCAAGAAGTTATTTGAGCAGTAAGTATTGCAACCAAGTAATTTAACTTTGATTTTTTTTTCACAAATTCAAAGTGGTATACTTATCATGAGGCATAAGCAATCAAAAAGCAATGCAAAGTCCACTGTATTGGATGAGCTGACAATGTTTCCAGGCTGCAAAATACATTTTCATTTCCAAATACAGCTGAGGTATGGAGATGAATTCAGTGGGACTTCATAAATCTTCTCTCAGAGGCAAAATACTGCCTGTTATCTTAATAGGCAACTCTTTCAAGAAGCTGTGGCTCACAGCCTTACTATCTAGCACTCACAACAGTGCCCAATCTCCTCCTTTGGCACACTTACGTTGTGCAGCTTTTCTTCCACAGTCTCACAAAGCAAATGCACCCATGGCTTGAGCAGCATGATCTGCTAGATCCCTCCATGTCATACAGTGCACCAGCCAAGGGACAGACTCCTCACGAAACAGAGGAGCACAAAGACTTTGGGGTGTACTTAACACATTCTCACCAGTCTAGTTATTCCTATTACAGGCTTTCTGATAGTTCAGACTCAAATAATTCAATTGGATATTAATTTAAAAAATTATCTACTCACATGCAGTCCTTTTTTTCCGTATGCTATCCCTCGTCCATAAATTGCACTAACCAGCTCTGGTTCTTCCTGTTAAACAAATAAAATATTAATTTGTGGTGTGAGTTTTTTGGTTTTTCAATATGTACTTAATTTTAGCTGATCTAAAGTAGTAAGCAATGAACAATCACAGCTACCAGGCAAAGAAATTTATTGTATTACAGTCCATACTTTCATATGCTCACAACTTCCAATTCAATTTAATGGAATTGTTCTGGAGTATTTCTCTGATAAAAAAGCCAAACAGAGAGCAGTTATCGTGCCACCTACCAAAACTATTACCCTGTGTACATTAGACTAGATTACAATACACAGTATTCATTAGAATACTCTGTTACCCATTGCAATAGTTGTAACCTTAGTGGTAATTATGTAACTTCTGTCTCATGTCACTGAACTGATAAAAAACACATAATTTGGCAACTCAAAGCTTATTTTCCATGCAATTTAAATTTGAGATTTAAAATTTGGGAGCAAGATATTATGACATCCTGATGAAATTTATATTCAGACAGCAGCTAAAACCAGAGGCATTCTACTAAAATAGTTCTGTAAAATTCAAACCAACTTTCCCTGGGTTAGATTTAATTTTGTGACTTTCCTACTAGGGCACTTAGACAGAATGCACCCTACATAGTAAATCTACTTCTTGTTTGATGTAATTTACTCCAACCACAGTTTCCCACACACACTTCAAGAACTATACAGCAAAACTGTTTTGTCAACACAACAATGCCTATACAGTGAAGTTTCCCTGAAAACCAGTCAGGAATCGCCATCTTCACACCTGCAAGGAACACAGCTGTCCTACAAAGTTTGTAGCACAGGCCTGGTCGTTTTTAATTGGGACATCTGCCAAGAAACAAACTGTTTCCTAAGAAACAAACTGCTGCAGACAGAACAACAGAATACAAGGCATATCAGTGCTGGCAGTTTGCCAGACTCCAACTTATTCCAAGTTTATGCTTGGCTACATCAACAGTAGGTATAGCTTCCTACTCTTAATACTATGGCTAAGCAAGGCTGTTTTATTCAGTTAAATGTTTTAATGCTCACTTTATATGTATTTAAAATTGCATTGTGGAAAACTGAGTGAACAATCATGATTACTTTACAGCCTTTCAGGCATACCATAAGCATGATACCAAAGCAGACTTTAAACTGAGATGTGGGCACTGCAGAAGTACTCTAGCACATAAATGCTTCTCCCAGAATCTTTCTACAGTTGGTGTATCTTGCTTATCTTCACCTTTTAAGTATTAAGTTTCCTTCTAAATAAAGACAGGAAACAATACGTAAATCCAGTGGTTTTGAAAGCAGGATTTCTCATTAGGGTAAAAAACAATCCTGACATAAAAGCAAATCAAAGACAGATATCACTAAAAACCTGTATCAACCAAATAAAAATAAAAGCACACAAAAACCCCAAACATTCTTGTCCTCAGATAAATTCCCTGGAATAATTCCATTAAATTGCCACACTTCCAGTCAATTTAAGAACAAGCCATATGACACTTAAAAGAAATACATGCCATTATTTGCAATATTGCTTTCAGCTTGCATTTGTGTACTTTAAACAGTTTAAATGAAAAAGTATGTCCACGCTTCTGAACGTTCCAGGTTTTTAGCCATAAAAATGCAGTATTTTTAAAATCATCTTTAGTTGAAGCTTATAATATTGTTGGGGCTGATTTTGTTTTAAATGTGACTACCTCCTACTTGATTAACTGTAGAAGATTCTGAATTGTTTATTCTGGTCAGGAAAAACACTCATAAGTATTAGTTATGTTTTATTTACATATTAAACTAATTAAATTCTTACCATTGAAAAAGGACAAAGGCAGCATACAAAATCATTTATCACTGTGAAAGCAATGTGTTACTTGCCACTAGCAATAAATTATCTCTATCAGGGCTTTTTCCCTCATGTTATTGGCACCATGCTGTCACCCAAAAAAGTCTACTTTAAAATATCTCGTAGTCTACTTTAAAATATATCGTACACAACGATAGCAGACAATCTAAGAAACTTCAGCTCTGCAGAGTCAGGCCTCTGAAAACACGTGCTTTTTTTGGTCAAAGTGCCACAAAAACTTTATGCCTACAGATGAGAAAAATACTCACCAAATAACCAAGATACTGATCACCCAGTTCTAACAGTATGCTTATGTTTGGATGGAAAAGAAAATGAACAAACAGCAGAATAATTGCTCTCATCTAAAAATCCTTAATTTAATATTTGTTTAATTAAAAGCCATATGTGGCAATAGATATTTTCATTAAGTTATTTTTTGGGGTCCAAGCAGAAAACTTACCTGCAGCATTGTTGAAAAATGTCGTATAGCTTCATCATACAAGCCGTTGCCGATCAACACGTATGCAATTGCTAAGAAAACATTAAAAATGTAAATAAAACAGGAAAAAAAATCGGACTTTTTAAAGCTATTAAATACTACCAAATTGTAAAATGTTTAAGTTCCTACATGGCAGTGAAGATGATTTTAATCAGAGGATTCCTGAATGGCCACCAAAATGACATGACTTCCCTCAGCCATTACCTAGCATTCATGAATTACTCAATTCATACTGTGCTCTTCAGGGCTCTTTCGGGATTTTGTGATCTACTTGTGGGCTTTTTCTCTCCTTTTTACAGTCCTTTAGGAAAGGACCCATGTTTGCTTCTCAAATACTTAGGATCAGAAAAGGCACTATGATCCCAATACGACAGTTCTGGATGCTTTCTCAGAAGTGTCACCTGGCTAAGTTTTTTTGACAATTTGATTAGGGAAATTCTACTTGTTTGTACACATATTAATAAACTTTATTAGTTCACAATAAGATTTTCCTTCATTTGAATTACCTAGAAATACCTCAACTAAACTGATTTCACTATATAAAAAACTGAAACACAAGTGAATCTTCAGCTATGCTATAATTATGAAAAGCTTTCAAGTTCTTGTGCATCCCCCCCATTTTGAAGTAGAAGCCAAGTGTTTGAAAAAGAAACCATTAGAAATACGTTCCTGTAATCTCCACAAGATACAAAAATACAGTCAAATCACGACTGGAAAGCTGTAGTTTTGCTTGCATGACTGAAGTTCAGTTCTGACAGCTGAATATCTCAAGATTGCTTCATTTTGCATGTTTTAACTTCTCACAATTCTTAACTCTGAATTAAGCTCCGTCTACACTGTCAACACAACCCAGTACCTTGAAGCCCACAGCTATGAAAGTTAGAGAGAACTTTTCCCCAGGCAGTTTGTTCAAACAGCTGGCAGTGGAACTACAAGCAGATTTCACCTTTCCCCACTTACAGTGAATTTAGCAACAGAAGAGGCACCTCTTAGCTTAATTATTTATTCAAACATGAGAAGAGACAAGTAAGTCATTTAAAGCAAAGGCATTATTAACAGGACACAGACACTTATCTTTCAGGCAGGCAGAGCCACATTGTTTTGGCAGTGCTGCTAAGCACAGTTCATTAAAAAAGGAAAACAGTTAAATGAAAAAGAAATAAGAAGTGTATTTAATCCAGAGCTTGTCTCATACTCAGAGCACTTCTATTATGAAGAAGGAAATATTTGTGTGCAATATAAGCTTTCTCCTCAATACATAAAAAGCTTCACTTGGCACAAATACATAGGATTACCAAAAAAGGGAAAAAAATGGCCAGGGGGAAGGACAGGATGAAGAGCTCTTGAATTTTCCTCACTTCATTCTTCTTCAAGACTATATAGTTATTACTATCATCTTTAGGCTTTGAATCCCAGAACACAGAAAAAGTGGAACATAAAATAAAGTCAACTCAACCATTTCAGCGTTAAGAAAAAATCTGGAGGACACAAGATAACCAAGACTTACATTGTCACTCAGTTGCTTTACTGATAACAACTGTATTCAGTTTATACAAGATACTTGGCAAAATGCCACACTGAACTGTGAACTGTCTGCAAAACTCTGGCAAGCGGCTGACAGCTAGTACCTGATACAGTACCAACTTCTTTTAAACAGTATCTTCTTGATTTTTTAATTTTTAATATTACAAAACTACAAGTACTTCATTATGAAAAAATCTAATGGTTAACAATGGCCCATTAGCCAAAGTATTTCAGTCCCAACATTCCTTCAGAAGGCCCCATACATTCTGTGCTACTTCTCCTCAGAACAGTTAAAAGCAACACGCCAAAATGAGAAGGACCAAACCAGGCTCTTCACACCACAACATCCTTGGACTAAAGTGGGTAGATAGGTGCCAGCCTACATGCCAAACATGAGGAAAGAGACCTTCTAGCAGAGTATTCCAAGTCTACAGAACAGATACTAGAAGTACCAGATATTTTCATCTGAACAGAAGCTTAGTATTCTTTGCAGGATTCTATGAACATAGAGCTAGGTAGTCTAGGAATATTAAAAAATATTAAGCCCTCAAATTTTCCTGGATAAATTAATGAAGGTAGAAACTAAGCCAGAAAAAAACCTTCTTAATTATTTTAAATTCATTAGAGGGGATCAAAATCTCTCTTTGCTGTTACACAAAAGATGGTCTGCTGCCTTCCTTGACACACATCCTCAACAATCTCTTGGCTACCTTGTAATACCTCTATTTGAAGAAGCATTGCAACTCCATTTTTGAGTCCCCTGAGGAAAGTATCTCCTGCTCATTTATTAGAAATGCCCCCATTTCTTTGTGCTGAGTGTGCTTTGAAAAAACTTCAAGTAGCAGCCTAGGACATAATTCAGAAAGTCTTCCTGCTGCACATAAATTTTGATGGGAAGAGTGTGGAGACAGGAAACAGATCCAAGATCTAAGCTTCATAGAAACCACACTGCATTGGTTGCATTTTCTGGATGTTTGAACAGTTTTAGTCATCAATAATCACAGAAAAATGGAAACAGGAAGTAGCTGAGCATATTAAAAAGGATTTAATCAGAATTCTTTTTGAACATCTGCTTAAGCAGACATGGTGAAGAATTCTAGTGAAGAAAGCAGGAAAGGTTTTTAGCAACAGAGATAAGTATTTGCTTTATAAGACCAGAGGAAACTTGCTGTATTTCCAGACTTATTATGATCAATTTGAAGTTAATGCATCACTTCAATCATCAATTTTTAAAACATTTAGTGCTAATAATTAGCACATCAATCACCTGCACAAACCTTATATAAAACATCTTACCCAGTTCTTCATTTGTGTTGTCATTATCAGTAGCAAATGGAAATCGTTTTTGTTCTGCAAGCAACTTCGCTTGACTCTGTAAAACATCATATTTTCAAGGGTTCAGCAAACAACAACACAGAATTTAACAGAAAATCCATGTCTTAAATCCTTAAGAGAATGCCTTAAAACACAAAGTTAAAAGGAATGTGATTTCACTAAGGTAACTGAAATCAAGTTCATTCCTAGTCTTCCACAGGGAGAAAAGCTTCCCTTCAGTCAGATGCTGCTGTTTTCTGCTCTAACTAAGGGTAATCAAACCTCAGAAAGAACATTGTCAGCATTTTACCAGGGACTGATGCTTCTGGATTGCTTAAGGTCAAGTTTTCTGGCCTTCTTAAGACACCTTACTTCTTATGAAAGTTTATACTGTTTGCCCTATAATTATTCCTTTGTCTCCTGCAAGGGAAGAGTACTGCAGAAGAGTAAAACACTGAAAATAAACACTGAAAAGAGTATCACTCCATCAATATAGAACACATCAATATAGAAGTTTAGAAAGCTAAACTTCACAATGCCATACTAAAGAGGCTGTCCTTTCAACAATGGCATTTCAATGACATTCTATCAGTTCTACACTTTGTTCAAACTGTAGTCTTATCCAGGATGTCTGTTCCCTAAAAATGCACCTATAGAAACCAACAGTGTCAAAGACAACTAGCCCAGAAATGCAGAAATATTCAGCTCTATTTATTTCCACAAATACTTTTCATAGACAGCTGTAAGCCTATCAGAGTAGTTTATGTTAGAAAAATACAAAATGTTCATTTAAATCAATTGGTCTTTCAAACTGTTTTAGGAAACAAGAAGGGGGAAAAATAGCATCTCTCTCCATTCAGTTATCTTATTTCAATTCAACTAAACAGCTTGTTTCCACTACTGTTCTCCTTTAAGGTTGTTTTGCCTGTCCAATCAAAAGTAGTCACATTAACTGCGTCCACAACACAGACATTTCATTTACCTAAAAAGTGCAAAAGTTAAATGGCCAGATTCCATTGCACAGTTTTTGCCCTGTGTGTCTAATAATGAGGAGAACATCTGGTCTGCTCTAAGGATTTAGTGTTTTGGAAAACAAGAATGATTAGCAAACGGATTTTACAAACTTTTCATTTTTTACTGCAATTAAAAGCGATGTATGAGCTCTACATTACACTATACCACTGAAAATTGTTACTCTGCCTATATCTGCACCTCTACACTAACAGAGTGTGGCAGTTATTTCCCTTATAGAGAAAAGCCATTAGTAACACAGCACAAAAATGAGCAGAGTTCAACAGATATAACAATAAGAAAACTAAATCTACATTGCAATCCACATGCATTTACCAACGCAACACTATCATATCACCAATGGCCGTCATGCAATATTCAGAAAATGACCTTTAACAACCCTACAAAACATTATTCTTCTATAATTGTCTTAATATTAGGAAAAAGAGCACAACATTTTTACTGAAGGACAATCTCTTCCTTGATGGATTTACAAAAACAGATCTACACATCTTTGTCTGCAGACAAAGATCTAGCCAGATTCCACACTGGTGTTGGAAAATAAGCCCCAAGCAGCAGGATCCCACAATACATTAGAATAATTTCCTATGGATTACTGAGCTGCATGTGACAGCAAGAGAAGTACCACTACCTCATCTGTTTTGACATTACACAGTAACAGAACCGTTGTGGTGGCAGAGAAGTGGTTTCACACTTCCTCAACAAACTCTGAATTCAGGTACAGGTTAAACATCCTGCAACTCTACACTCAAAAAACATCAGTCACTCTGTCTTCAAGAAACAGGAGAATTTTCACCATAGCACCATATCCCAACAGGTTTAATTCTTGCTCTCTTTAAAACAAATCTTTTGGGTTTTTTTAACGGGGAAATTTCTTTCTAACAAACATACATTTCACTGTTAGAAAGAATTGCTGGTACTGTTGGACTAGACAGGAAAGATCTCCTGACCAATATATGATGAAGTCTAAGGAGAATATTCAAGTCAAACAATTGGCTTAGGGGATTTGCAGTACAGTAATTTTAATTCCAAGTGCCACCTTTGGAGAAGTTGCTCCCAGTTAAAATATTGTTTACAGATTCCCTCAGCCAATAATTTCTAAAAATTTGCCAAAGCTACTTTGTTAATTCACATGGAAATGATTTGAAAATTTTCAACACCTGTATTCTACTGGACTGAAGATGTAACATCAAACCTTGGTTCTCAAAAGGCTAAGAGTAGTGTTGCAAGAAAACCCAAATTCCAAACTAGTCCTCTTGAGGTCTCTCTACCAAAAAATACTCTTCTTTTGTGAGAATATTCTTCACATGCCAGGTCAGTATCACATTTAGTGAAACACAGTCTGAAGCCTCTAACTCTCATCTTTGCACAGTGTTACTTCTGTAGAGACTAGAAGTCATTGCTCTTACTTTTACACATATTTTGCAGTAAACCTCAGGAAGCTAATCTGGGAAAAAGCTAATGCACCTCCCCCTTTTTCAGGCATAGCCCCTGCACCCCCAAAACAAAAAAATTAATTGGTTAATTAATTGAGGTGAAGGTCAGCTCTCAGTGACAACATCTGCTTCAATTAGTTGACAACCCTAAAGACTGATGAGAGATAACTACAAAGTAATACTTTTATGAGCAACTTGAGTTTATTCATACCTAAGCCTTTTGGGCAGCAATGCCTACTGATTAACAGATCTATTTGCATTTATTTCCCTGAACTTCATTCTAACTGGTTATGCAGCTGAAGTAGTCTGCAACTTCAACAATCTAGTAAAATAATTTTGTACATTATATTCTTGATAACATACCAGAATTTTTTCTGTATTCAAGGAAAGTATAGATTCACAGGACGATGATCCTCCTATGTCACAATCCGATTCATGGAAGTGCAAAAATGATGAATCTGGGAGAAGAGAGAGAAAATACTTTTAGGAACTCATAGAGCTACGTATATGTTCTATTATCTCATCTCACATTTCCTCATGTTTGGCTGAACAGCTTCCCCACAGGGCACCCCACAGGGCAGAACTTTCATGAAGTGCTCTCTGCCCATAGCGTTACACCCTCACAGCCAGGGAAGCAAGAGCTGAGATGAAAGCTTCATCTAATTAGTTTTATCCCTACTTATGTTTATGCTTCTGGTTATGAATAGATTAATAAAAAGCAGTGCTAAAAAAATGGGGCAGAAGTGAAAAAGGAGGAAGCTGGAAGCAAATAACAAGGGCTTGGAGTAGGCATGTCTTCTTTCAGCATTATGATTTCATTCTCGCATCCAAGAAGTAGCAGATAAAATTCATTCCAATCCCAGAGAAGGAAATAAATGGAATGGACCACAAAGACATAGGGGAAAGCTGCAGAAAACAGAGGTATAATGAACTCTAATTGACCAAACATATACAAAGGTAAGCTAGTAAGAATGTCATTTTAAAAAGCATAAGGCTGATTCATTTCTCCTAAAAGTCAAACACAGCTTGTTGGCATAGCAGAGAAAAAGTTTAAGATATCAAACAAATAAAGAAGTAACAATAATAATCAACTACTCCCTCAGATTGATAGGAAACAGAAACCACTCCTTCCTCTATGTCATGCTTTTAATTGCTATTCCAATAGAACTGTTAACTTTCAAACCTTTGGAACCTAGAGCTTCTATCATCTTTAAATATTTCAAGAATAAACAAGAAAAAGAAAATATACGGCATTATCTCCTTGAAACCATGTCACAAATACCAAATTTTATCATCTCCCTTGATGTTTGTAAATCTAAACTTGATGCTAAGTTTGAAAGGCTCGGGGGCAGGGTGTGCTCTTATATTTTGACTTCTTAAGGATTGTAGTAATTAATTCCCTATCTCTCATAAGCACAGAGCTAAAAAAGAAAAAGAAACAGTCTTCTTGTAAAGAGAAATAAAGGAAGCATCTAAAATCATTCCCTGTAAACAGGAACTTGGATCTACATTGAGCCATAAATGATAAGCAGTGGGAGAAGTTTTACAACAAAAGCAAGGGTAGTAAAAAGCAGAAGTTCAAAGTTTAAAGTCAGTCCTGTGAGAACAGTGGCAAACCACTCATAGTTTCCAAAAAGAGCGCTGCCAGCATGACGTTTCATCCCTGCCCTTTGTTCTTCACACTGGTCAAACACTCCTGTGCTACGCCAGCGTTATTAACACGTTACTTGTTCCTGCTGGTGCTTGTGATTCAATAACTTCAGTTTTGGATGCAGACTCAACAAGAAACTTTTGCTTCAGACATCCAAACAAAGAGGTGCAGGCATGGCCTACCTCTGGAATAATTTTCTTCACAACAGCAAGGATTTACTGAAATAATTTTTTGTAAGGTGGTAGGGAATAAGACAGCCAAGCCATAAGCTTGATACAAGCTACAGCAGGTAAAGACTCCCTCAGATCCTGCAGTTCTTGGGGAAACAAACTGCTTTACTCATATGGAGAAATGGATCTGCCTTTGTCTGCAAGTCAGACACAATCAAAACTGAACCACATTAACAACTTCATGAAAATGAAGCTTTCTTCATTTTCAGAAACACCAACCAGAGAAAGTACTTTGGACCTTGTAGTAGGCTACAGGGAAAACTATTTGAGACCAAAAAAAAATCTCAGCTTCTGTGCAAGTTGTACTAAAACAAAGACTGAGAGCTCAAGGAATTTTTCAATTGGCAATTCATTTAGTCCTAGCACGTAAACAGCAAGGAGTGAACTGGTATAGAGCTATTTGAAGGCAAGTAAGTTGTTCTGTAAGTAAGGCCTATCTTACTCCCAGAGCATGCAAGGTACCTGGGACACCTGATGATTCAAGCAGAACTCTTTGTACCAATCCTAGCTACACCGGTTTCTTTAAAACAACACTGTTAAATCAGAATCTAATCTTCCGATTCCACCTCTGAAGGAGTGCCTTGAGTCAATCATTCATGTCAGGTCTAGTAACAGATGTAATCAAGTGCTTTGCCATTTATTAACTTGTAGGGTATACAGATTTTTATCTCAACACTGGGTGAAAGTCTTCTTGTTTTATGCTTAAGCTTGAATAATTTGTAGCAACGGTTACCTGAGATAACTTTCAAGATCTGGTTTCACCTTTAGGTACTATGGCTCTCAGCCACTGCAGCCACACACACACAAAGGTAATAAAAACTAACCAAAGAACTTTATAATGCGAAGACAAAAGCACATACAGAAGGGAGGGGAGAAAGCAAAAACCCAGGCGCAGGAAACTCATAAGAAGTTATTTCCACAAAGTCTGTTATTCAAGTGGATTACATTTGTTTTATATTAGTTATTAGGGACCATGGAATTGCTGATATGAGCACAGGCCTTATGAAATAAAGGGCAGGGGAAAAAATCACAAAACCATGCTGACAGCTAGGATGTCATCACACATCACTGTTTATTCTCTTATACATAATTTAGTATCACATTCCAAGCAACTGATAGACCTTTTTCTTCATCTGCATTGTGTGCACATTGCGATTCAGACTGGCATCTTTGTATGGCTCATTCACACCATGCTCAAGATCAACAATCACAACACATTAAACCACATGATCCAGATATAAAAGATACTCAAGCAGATAAAAACAGTTTTAACTATGCCTGTATTACAAGACATCAATTAACTCGAAAAATAGCAGAAGATCTGCTACTCAAACTTGGTACTCATAAGAGAAGCATTCAAGTCACGAGTAAAATAGATGTAATGTGGCTGAAATGAAATCGAGCCACACCTCATTCACGGAAACACAGAACTGATACGGTTGGAAGAGATCTATGGAGACCATCCAGTCCAACCCTCCTGCAGGGTCACCTTGAGCAGGTGACACAAGAACACATCCAGGTAGGTTTTGAATGTGTCCAGATAGAGAAAATCCACAAGCTCCTTGGGCAGCCTGTTCCAAGTGCTCTGACACCCTCATACAAAGCGGTTCTCCCCCAAGTTGAACTGGAACTTGTATTTAAGTTTGTGGTCACTGCTCCTCATCCTGTCCCTGGGCATCACTAAAAAGTCTGGCACCATACTCTTGACACCTTCATGAGATTCCCTCTCAGTCTTCTTCCCTTTAGACTAACATGCCCAGCTCCCACAGTCTCTCTTCGTGAGAGACGCTCCAGACCGCTGGACCCTCTCCGGCAGCTCCTTGTACTGACAAACTCAGTAACACAAGCACGGAGTACAGGCGTATCCCCAAACTACTGCGCGCGGGAATGAAAAGCAGCAGAGTCCAGCAGCCGGGCTCGGAGGTGAACGGGCAGCAGGGATCCTGCGTGTGGTACCTAAGGCTTGCCCGCCCAGGGGTGAGAGATTTTCCCGGGCTCGCTGCCACAGCCCCTGTGGCTCCGCGCTGCCGCTCACCCTCGGGCAGCCTCGCTGTGCGCCAGCCGAGGGCAGCGGCGGCACAGGCCGGGGGCCGCCGGCACCCCGCCCCGCCCCGGGCCCCACCGGCACCGCCGCCCCGGGCTGCGGGCGGTCACCGCGGCGACGCCCCTGACTCACCGCACTCGGCCGAGTACTGCTCTGCCCACTCCCCCGCCGGGCCGTGGCGCTGCCGGTGCCGCTCCTGCTGGAACAGGGACAGCGCCGGGTAGCGCTCGGTGAGGGCGAGCGCGGCCGGGGCCAGCAGGGCCAGCACGGCCAGCGGCACCCACAGACCCCGCGCCAGCCCGCCAGCAGGTGCCATCTTCACGGCGCGCATGTGCGCCGCCTCGCCCGGGAACACGGGGTGTCCCCGCCGCACCTCCCACGGGGCCGCACTCGCACTGCCCCCTGGGACATGGAGTTCTCCACCGGCGCAGCCGGGCGTGCGGCAGCGGCAGGAAAACCACAGCTCCCGGGATGCAGCGCGGCTCGTTTTGGCTCGGCCGCGCTCCCGAACGCGGAAACGAGGAGGCGGTGTGGAAGCGCTGACAGAGCTGGGCGTGCTCCCGCGCGCCATGGCGGCGCTCGGCGCCTACCGCTGTATCGAGTGCAACGGAGAGGCGACGGAGCTGTACCGGGACTATCAGCGCGGGGTGCTCCGTATCTCCATCTGCGTGAGTCGGGGCGGCGAGCAGTGCGTGGGGGAGGCCAGGAATGCACGTGGGAAGCTCTGACGTCAGCAGGCGGCGGCGCGCGGCACGTGGTAGTGGGCCCGGTGGCACGCGGGCGGCTGAGCCCCGTGGAGCGCCCCCTGCTGCCGGGCCGGAGCCGCGCCCGCGCGTTGGGGCCGCTTTCCCTGAATCCTGGTGTCCTGTGAGGAAAGGCTGAGAGAGTTGGGCCTGTTCGGCCTCGAGGAGAGACGGCTGAGAGCGGGACTCATCAATTGTATAAATAGCTAAAGGGAGGGTGTCTCATTCAGGAGTATAAATAGCTAAAGGGAGGGTGCCCTGAGGATGGAGCCAGACTCTTCTCGGTGGGCACGCAATAGGCAAGGGGCAATTGGCAGATACTGATGTACAGGAAGTTCCACCTGGATATGAGGAAGAACTTCTTTACTGTGCAGGTGACTGAGCACTGGAACAGATTGTTCTGAGAGGTTGTGGAGTCTCCCTCACTGGAGATGTTCAAGAACCATCTGGACACAACCCTGTGACTCATGCTCTTGGATGGCCCTGCTTGAGCAGGGAGGTTGGACCAGATAACCCTGTGTGGTCCCTTCCAACCTGACCCATTCTGTGATTCTGCAGGTTTTCTGTCTGCTCTGCTTCCCAGTGTCATTTCCTCCTGTTCCTTGAGTACACCTGTGTGCTGGAGCTGTCCTGACTGGCACTGCCGTGTGTCTGCTGCTCTGTGTGCTCAGCCTGGCTCTTGCTGAAGGGCAGATCTGAGCGTGGCTCCATGGCTGAACACAGCTCCTGTGCCACTGGACCTGAATACCAGGGTCTGAGTGATGATTATTTAAAGGGATCTGGAGTCCTGGTCAGTGGCAAGTTGAACACGAGCCAGCAGTGCCCTGGCAGCCAGGAGAACCAGAGCAACCCTGGCCTAGGGGGCATCAAGCACAGCATCACCAGCCAGGTAAGGGAGGGGATTGTCCTGCTCTGCTCTGCACTGGGGCAGCCTCACCTCGAGTGCTGGGGGCAGTTTTGGGCAAAGCAGAATAAGAAAAATGTAAAGCTGTTGTAGAGCATCTAAAGGAGGACGCAAAGCTGATGAAGGATGTAGAGGGGAAGTTGTGTGAGGAGTAGCTGAGGTCACTTGGCATGTCCAGCCTGGAGAAGGGGAGGCTGAAGGGATACCTCATTGAAATCTACAACTTCCTCTGGTTTATTAATCTAATGCTGATAAACAGATTTAAGGCAGCCTGGGAGCCAGTAGATGGCACTCATTCCCCTTGGCATTTAACCATTTGAGGACCAAAGATCCTGGTCTGTTGCAGCTGTGGCATGCGATGTAGAATCAAAGACTTAAGTCCCAGTTGCTATATTCATCACAAATGCTAAACTCATATATAAAGAGTATCGAATTGAGTAAAAGAAAGAGCAAAGAATCACATATTCCTAGCAATCTGGAATTGTGTCCACCTTTCTCCATGCAGCCCCAGATCTCTACCATTTTTCACTGACTCGTACCAGTCTGTTTGCTCTGGCTCTGTTGTGAGTCCTCATCGTTCAGGTTCAGTTCTAGCTGCTCTTATGTGGCACATGTCATATCATCACAAAGCTTTCCCTCGATTTCTGGTCACCCAGGCAGTGCTGAGAGCAGGAGACATGTTAGCTCATGGCACATTAAGTGGAGATGAGAATGTTGAAAGATTGCCAAGATCAAAAGATTCTTTCAGTTGAACTGATGTGACTTTGGGCAGGAAAGCCCTACTGTTGTCTCCAGCTACCATGGTTTCCAATAGAGCAGTGTTTGGTTTACTTTTTCTTTTTAATCTGCAAGGATGGTTTTGTCACTGTACCAGCTCTCTGCAGGCATTCTGTTCCATGCAGGCAAGGCTGTGCTCTGGCCAGAGACCTGGAAAGTTGTTCATCATCATGCTGCTGACAGTGAAAAATAGTGAAGGACTGAATGTCCTTCGATACCCTTCACAGACTTTCGTAAGTAGTGATATGAATGTGTCTGTGTTATGAATCTTCTTGATGATCAAACCTGAAAATAATGACAGCTTAGAAGTCTTCAATTAAAAATATATGAAGACCCCACTTAACAGTGTGAAACATCATTTATATCAGTTATATATAAAACTTAGAGTGTAGGCCTCTAAAAACTTAAGGAAAGCTGAAGGTATTTAAGAAAAATTGAAGGTCTGAGGTGAGTTTAGAAGGTGTGATCACTCAGCCTGAGAACATTTTTCATCTGCCTTCATGGAGTGAGAGCATTGAGTACTGTTACTCCACTGTAGCATTACGAGAGAAGAAGTAAAAATTCATAAAAAGATTGTATGTTTATACTCAAAGTGAGGCTAATGAGCATTATCTAGATTTTTTTTTTTGTTAAAAGCACTTGTGTTTCATTCCCATTTTCAAGTAGTACATGGAAATATTGTCACCTTAAGGAAAAAAAAACAGACAACAACCCAACATTTGTTCTATACGGTAAATAAAATAGAAGGCCCCAGAAAATTGGGAACAAGCAGAACATTGTCAAGATCATCACTGTTTCACAGGAACCTAGAGACTTTCCCCAATACTGTTTTGAAGTCATCCTTGATACATTAAGAAATCTGCATCTAAAAGGTCTTTGCCATTCTCAGGACAACCCTGTTATTCAACACTTTTTGGAGCATTAACTAAGTTCTCCCAACAGCAACTTCTATCTAGCCCTACATTTATTTTAGGATGTGTTTAACCTGATCTGGATGTGATTTTGAGATGGAATATTTAAATTTGAATGTCTAAGCAAAATACCATGATTTTGTATTCTGTTATTAATTTGTTGAAGAGAAGAATGAATTTTTTTCCAGAGGCAAATACTAAAAGCTTTCATTAAGGAACATGTGTTTCCAGCCCACAATATTAGAGTACAATTTTGGAAATTCAGCCTAATGTTGCTTTAGTTTAGTTACTGCTCTTAATATAATTAAAAGTTTCTTTGAACTCCATATTGTAATTTTAATGTGGGCAAGCATTAAAGACCTCACAAGTGTTATTATCCACTCTGGGAATAAATTTGTAATAGATGCTGAAGGAACTAAAGAAACTTTCTTCTATAAAACATAGAAGTCCACACAGTACACTTGGGTTGGAAGGGTCGTGTCTTTTCTTAATAACTCTGCAAGGTTTGTGGCTAACTGCCACAAATTCCTCAAGTTCTGTAACTTCTTTTTAAGTCTGTTTTGTTTAATTAAGGCCATTTTCAGCTGAAGCCTAGCCCAGACCTCTGGCATTGCACATTTAGTGGATGAACCATTTTTTCATCTTGCCTGTACTTAGCTGTGGAAGTAGCATTACTAGAGACAGATGGACCTCTTCAATATGGCTTTTGTTCAGTGTGATGACTGAGGGGTGGCAGGGGAGGGTGTGGAATCTGTGGGCATGTTAGGATGAGCATGTTGGCACACACTTTGCATCTCCTGGGTCTGGGTTTAGTCCGAATCTGTGAATTACAGATTTGTTCCCTATTCCCAGCAAGAAGTTATGGTAAAGGTAGCCCTAGGTGGCTCTCCTTCTAGAGAAGGTTTTTTGCTAATTATTTTGAGACCCTTAAAATTTAATTAATCTGTAAGTAATACAGCAAATGTTCACTGAATATATTACAAAGCAACCATTAAGAGCAGTAAGGAAAAAATACTGTTCAAATAACACTGCTACTGCAGTAATAACTCTGGGGTGTGGGGTGGGAACACGATTGCCTGACCTGAAATAAACTGTGAAGTGCAATGAATATAGAAAGAAATTAGCAAACTTCACTTATTCAGAAATGGAAGGAAAAGCATGCAAACATTTATAAAATTTGGTTTTCCATTTCATATATGTTGTTATGTTTAAAAATAAAATGTTAAAAATGTTTCAGACCATAACAAAGGAAAGTAAATTACTTATTGCAATATATAGAGCACAGTCAGGATCCCCCTTGTGTTTTGTAATAAGAAAGCCAAATTGCCTGAGCAGTGCACACTTCATTTAGCTTTTCTGCAATTAAAAAATAATTGAAAAGCTCTTTTTTTTGCAGCAAGGCAGAGAGACCTTGCTTTGAATGCAAAGCATTTATGTGGTGTGGTAAAGAATCTGTCAAGAGTACAAAGATCATCCTGGAAAATAACATATGCTAATTGTACATAACTCTGTTTACAGACCAACTCACTACTGGAAAAAAAATATATTTAATTTGTTTTCTGAAACTGGGCTGTTTTGTTTTTCAGCCTACTGTGACACTTGGCTGCGTCCCTAATAAAGAATCCATTCCTGAAAGCAGCACAGCTAATGTGTTTTATTATTTAAGGGTGCAATTGGGATTAAGGGCACTCTCACAAGAGTCTTTAATTTGCCTATGAACCTATGCAAATGCACCTCTGTTCATGTGGAAGCTATGTAAATGTTGTTACAATTTGCTGTATGTGTAGTCCAGTAAAAAATTGTAGCTTAATTTTGCCAAACTCCAAACCCTGGAGAAAGGAATACTATAATAAGACTGTTTCATTGATATTTCTAATGTCCAGAGATTTGCAAATGTATTCCTGGTTTTCATGATAGTTTTAGATCAGGATGAAGCTTTGTTCTTTACTGTATATTTTTACTTTCTCTTATGTCCTATGGCTTCCTCTTCAGGAAT